GTGGAGCCCATGCCCATCCTGTGGGTGGTGGTGGAGCCCATACCCATCCTGTGGGTGGTGGTGGAGCCCATGCCCATCCTGTGGGTGGTGGTGGAGCCCATACCCATCCTGTGGGTGGTGGTGGAGCCCATGGCCATCCTGTGGGTGGTGGTGGAGCCCATACCCATCCTGTGGGTGGTGGTGGAGCCCATACCCATCCTGTGGGTGGTGGTGGAGCCCATGCCCATCCTGTGGGTGGTGGTGGAGCCCATGCCCATCCTGTTGGTAGTGGTGGAGCCCATGCCCATCCTGTTGGTGGTGGTGGAGCCCATGCCCATCCTGTGGGTGGTGGTGGAGCCCATGGCCATCCTGTGGGTGGTAGTGGAGCCCATGCCCATCCTGTGGGTGGTGGTGGAGCCCATACCCATCCTGTGGGTGGTGGTGGAGCCCATGGCCATCCTGTGGGTGGTGGTGGAGCCCATACCCATCCTGTGGGTGGTGGTGGAGCCCATGCCCGTCCTGTAAGTGGTTGAGGACGCCATACCCATCCTGTGAGTTGTAATGGATGGAACAGCCCGTCCTTTTAAGGTTTCCCAACGTCAAGAAACTGTCGTACTAAAGTGCCCTTACCCTAACCAACCAGAGGACCCAAAGCAGAAAACGGGACAGTCTGTCAATTTCGCGAGCCGCTTCCATTTTCTAGTACGACAATGTTTGCCTTAGGTAGAGTATACGTCAAACTGCGACGTATTAGAAGATCGGGTTGAATAGAAAACGTTATCGAGGGCCATAATAGCTAAGCCCCAAAATTCCTTTAGCTAAGCAAAATAGCTTAGGCTGTCAGTGCACAAATGTTGTAGCGTAGGGTATCAATTCATAAAAGTATAATGTAGGCAATAGGCCCCCGGGGGAAGTATTATAGGTGGGGTCCCTCAAGGCAAGGTCCTGGGACCACTGCTGTTCCTAATTTATGTAAACGACCTTCCCGAGGGAATGAACTCATACTTGACAGTGTTCGCAGATTACACAACGCTGATGAGGAATGCAAACACAGAGGAAGGATGCAGAAAATTACAAAAGGGCCATAACAAACTATGAGTGGTCAAACAAATGGTTACTGGAATTCAGTCCTAACAAGTGCAAGTTAACGAAGATGGGAAAGGGAGAGAGAGGAGATCCGGAAGCATCTACATCATAAGGAGAAGGCAGCTACACGAATCGGAAAGAGACAGATTTGGGAGTGGATATGATTCCAACACTAACACCAGAGGCACTCACAAACATAGTAACATCAGCAGCATACGAGACGCTGCCAAACATTAAGACATTGTTTAAAACCTGACTCCGGACTCTATCAAACCAATCTGTACAACGTTTGTTACACCAATAATGGAATATACAGCTCCGGCGTGGAATCCGCAATTTATGAAGCATTAAAGCAAAATTGAAACCTACCTTGAGGTTACCTTGAGGTGCTTCCGGGGCTTAGCGTCCCCGCGGCCCGGTCGTCGACCAGGCCTCCTCGTTGCTGGACTGGTCAACCAGGCTGTTGGACGCGGCTGCTCTCAGCCTGACGTACGAATCACAGCCTGGTTGATCAGGTATCCTTTGGAGAATACCAAGATTTCCAACGAAATTGTTAGCAGAGCTAAGAATGTTAAACTAGGCTAACTAGGATAGGCTAACAAAATTTTATTTCACAATCCTAGATAGAAGAAACACAGGTGATATGATCACATCATACAAGATACTGAGGGGGGAAAGAAGACGTGAACAAGGGCAGACTCTTTAAATTGAGAGAAAGTAAGACAAGAGATCATACGTGGAAGCTGGAAATGCAAATGAGTCGAAGAAATGCAAGGCAATACTCGTACGGGTGGCAAACAAGTGGAATGCACTGAAAGGAGAAGTTTTACAAACGTCCCTAATGAGGATATATTCTCCACAAAACATAACGTTTATGGAGAAACGCGAGAGCACAATGACATCACTGGAGAGTAAGTGTGTTTGTGGAACACTTCTGCCTGACGTGGAGGGAGAAGTGGGGTGCCTGGTGCATCCTGGAGTCTCACTACTCAATGCTCAGTGAGATTCTCCTCCGGCCATATGCCTCCGCTTACTGGCCTCCTTACCTATCTATCTATATATATGGAACTGCGAAACTGAAGAGCTGGATCAAGAAACTTGTAACTCTTTGGTCTTTTGGTATACTGATTAGATTATCTCCCAGTTCCTTTTCAGGAACTTCAATGCACATTTGCCCTACGAAACAAGGGTTTCAGAGTCGATCGGAACAAAGCTGTAGCAACGTACCAGACCTCTGTATTTGATGACTTATTTATTTATTTTAGGAAAGGGGGGGGGGGTGGGAGGGGGGGGCTGGCCAGACCACAAGAGGCGCTCTGCGGTACTCTTCCCACAACACACTAAAAATATGTTAGTTGTTCCAGCTGTCACTCCTCCGTAATAGGCTCTCACTGTGTCAGGTACTGGTAGTGTTGACCACTCATTGTAGCAGTGTAACTCATTGTGTACCAGTGACAGAAATTGTAACGATGCTAGACAATGTGTAACAGTAAGAGACAATATGCAGCAGTAACAATGTGAGTAACAGCGTGCGACAATATACAAGAGCGGGTGGGAAGGTGTGATGAGAGCGAGCGGTCCCATATATAACGAGGCAGGAGCATGTACTAAGCGTATGAGGGGGTGGAGGAGCGAGGAGCACCCCGTTAGCACCGCCCGCTGGTGGGTGAGGGGGTGTTCAACATGCTCAAGTGTGCACCAGCGGCCGCCACCGTTATATCCAGCAGCCTCGCCCCGCTCACCCGCCGCCCATGACGCCGCCCTGTACATCTTGCGTCCCTGGAGCAGAGGCAGGAGTCCTCCTTCCGGACTCCCTCCTTCCAGGCAAGAGGAGGAGTCAGAAGGCGAAGAGGAACAGCAAAAGGGAAAGGAAAGAACTGGTGGAGGAGGTGGAAGGGTGGAACAGGGCGAGGAGGAAGGTAGGGAGAGAAGGAGGAGGAGAGAAAGCTACTGCCGGATATTGTTAACATCACCCACCAACCAGGCGGCGCCATCACCGTCATCTCTTTGTGTCAAGTCCATTTGTTATCTACCCGTCTTCACCTATTTTACATATTCCCTCTTCATCACATTAAGTGTAACTTCTTCATCTCAATGATATTAATATCATTCACAATTTGCAATTTTAGTTACTAAAACTATAAAGGAATAAATAAGTAATTTATAAAAAATATATATTTGGCCGAATAAGATTGGCTTAACTATTACATTTCAGAGTCCAAGGAATACAACAAATGTACCCGGGTACTCGAGTCCCTCATAGCCTCAACCTTCACCTCCACGATTTTGAAGGTGTTATACTAACGCAGTTGACACACGTGGCTCTCTCAACCACAACAACCAGCCCCCCACCACTACACGCAACAAAGGCCGCTACTCATCCAGGTTACCAACATTCACACCAGAATAATATGCTCACTGCCAACCACTAAGAACACTCTACTACGTCTCTAAAACTGATTGATTGATTGATGAAGATTAAGTCACCAGAAAGGTGGCACGGGCATGAATAGCCCATAAGTGGTGGCCCTTTTGAGTCATTACCAGTATTAATAGATGATACTATATATATTCCTCAGATAATATATGATATATATTCCAAAACTGCAGTCCACGCCATTAAATACTGCACACGAATATGCAAATCGCTACTCCACTCTTGCCTACAGCTTCTCCACGAACACCTTTTAAAAAGACTTAACAACCACTAAATGGGTGCCAGCCCACTGTCGAATATTCGACACTCAAATTGTAGTGTTCATCCACAATGAAATTGTAGATAAATTTGCAAAAGCAATGCGGGCTACAATTGGCAACACACATCACCCATAATCCTCCATATAGCACGAAAATGAATAGGGAAATCCACGATCACCAGATGCTGTACAAATCAACAATACTTCCTCCACTGCTTCAGACATCGAGGACTCGACACCGCCAAGTGCAGCGACACCGCCAATTTGTGTACTTACTAATTTAGAAATAAGGTTGGTGATTTATGGAACAAATTCACGGGAAACATAATAAACATGAAATTGATGGATTGTTTCAAGCATAGATCAGACATATATATGAATGAGTTTGGCTGCGGTGTCTCTTATTCTAATGTTCTTAACTCTAATAAACAACGTTCAGGCCTTGCCAAATCACCACTGTCACAGGGAGACGAAAACCTTTACACAAACTACAGGCATCATAAAGAAGGAGAAGAGTTTATTATTTATTATTATTATTATTATTATTATTATTATTTTCTACCACAGACGTAGCCACACATGTACAATGCTAACCAGCATATATACATTTTCTTCTGTCCTCCATGGACAGGGTTAGAGATGTGTTAAACATATAGTTCAGGGGGCTTATTGAACAATCAACCACAGAAGGTGATTCGGTGCTTTTAAAATGCTAAGCTAACCTACATACGTAAATACATAGATACACAGATTTACGTATGTCCTACATAAAGTGTTCAATGTGTCATTAATGTGCATTTACAAAGGTGAAATGTAATTCTGATTAGCTTCCATATATACTTTATACACATGCATATACATACACACACACACACACATATATACGTACATATACATATATACATACATGTATACATACATATATACACACACACATGCATTCACATACATTTGTCTCTTTTACTCTGACGGGGTGAGATAGCTGATAGAGAAACTAGTGTGCAATTAAGCACTTAAATTAATCACTGAAGGTGATGAAGGTGCTTTTACAAGCTCAGGTTATATAGTTACATCACATACATACGTTGTATAATTGATACATTACATGGTTAATCTTGGGTACAAGTCCAATATATCAGTGTTCCAGTACTCATATAGTAATTACACAGTTCAGCATACCTTAGCCCAGGAGGGCGAAAGTGAGTCAATATAGGACATTCTACAATATAATGTTCAAGAGAGTGCATGTTTTCTCTTTCACAAAGTTGACACAGAAGAGGTTGGAAGTGAGGATATCGGTAAGGCTTCACTGGCAGCCTAATGCCGCTCTCTCTCCTTGGCCGCCGCCCATGACAGTGAAAATGCCTCGTAAGTTGTCAACTACAAAAACAAGGTACAATGTTCGATCGCGTGACCAAAGGTTAGCGTCTCAACCCCACATTATTTCATGCATTTTTTTTTATTAACAAACTTTCATATACACAGCAATGATGATAGTCAAGCTTTTATCATCACAATCGACTTGAGAATGGTCCTGAACGGACCGAAACGTCGTCGTCCCTTCACTTTCTAGTGTGTGGTCTGGTCAACATATTTCAGCCACGTTATTGTGACTCATCATCTGCAATGACGTGCTGATACCAAGTGCAATATGAAGGATTACAGAGCAAAGACCAGAAACTAGCTATAAGTTCATCAAATTTCCAAATCTCACATGATAGTTAGTCAAACATGAGATCAAGAGAGAGCAAGAAATGGGAGTCTAATCTACTAGCCTACACTAGCGAACCCTGGGTAGAGCACAAGAATATCTTGCAACATTCCTGAGTGTACAGAGTTAACATTAATGACAGAGCTCAAAGTACCTCGTACCATTTGATCTGAAATAACAGAGCAATCACAGATTGCGTTGGAGATATACTTGCGTTGCGTATACTCTCCATACATTGGAGAGTATGGCCTAGTTCTTGTTCACATAGTTTACAGTTGGAATGTAAACCATTGGAAGCAACACCACGCGGTCTCGAGCAACACCACACGGTCAAGCTAGGTAAACTAGCTGGGTCTTGATGAACTAGGCTAGCTGGGCCTTGATGTCTTAGGCTACTTTGGTCTCCATAAGCTAAACTAGCTCACTGGGATGAAGTTTCCTCTGCTCCTCATATCACTGCAATTTTATTTAATACAATCGGCTTTTAAAAAGAGGTGCTGCTATCAAAAGCACTTAAGTGTTGTTATTCTTAATGACTTTCGTTTCATGATTTAGCAAATGTTTAGAATTCTGGGGTAAGGAAGGCCCACTATTACGTAACTGAAGATCAAGGTGACAAGTTCATGACTGGGGTTCTGGCGACATGTGACGAGGCTTCGTGTCCTCATTAATACATGATGGGGCTTTGTATTCTCATAAACACATGACAGGGTTTGTGCCCACATAAACACATGGCAAGATTGTGCCTTAATAAACACATGACGGGAGTTTTGTAACCTTATAAACAGAGGACGAAGCTTTATGCTCTGATAAACACATCATGGCTCCGTGCCCTCATCAACACATGATGAGGCTCTGTGTCATCTCATAAACACGTGAGATTTTGTTCTCTCATCAACAACCTTCAATCCAGAAAATTAATTATTCTGCGATGTGCGACACACACAGATCGGTCCCAAGACCCACAAGGCCGGCTACCGACCACAGCGAAGCTTTTTGTCATTCCGTAAAAAAGCCCGGTGGATGGGTCTGAAAGCCCGCGAACGCTGTCGGGTGAAAGCCAGGACGTGTTCCTGGGTGGCGCTGTTACCGCCTTCTCGGAGCCGCTTTTCTCTACCGGTTCCTGGAGAAGGAAAAAATGTCCGCAGCAAGAAATGGAAGACAAACACTTGCTCTCTTTGATCATATCTCTTGACGCGTCGAGTGACACAAATTCATGTTATTTTTTGCTGTATTTCGTGCTACTTAAAAAGCAGTAGCTAAATTTAAATGTCTGAAATTGTATTATTTGTCTATAAAATTTAGCAAATTTGCTGAATTTTACACACAATCACTCTCTCTTTTTAACTAAGGCTACGGTTCATTTGGACTATAAATTGAGGTACCTAGTGAAACTGCAAGCAAGAGCTGTTATCCTATCTCAGCTCAGTTGAAGAGGGGCCCCCTAAGAGTCTCATTTATTTCACGAGATTATAATTTGAATCATTAGGAATAAACGATTATATAAGGACCAGGGTAAATAAAAAGCCAACTATGTGCCAGAGCCTTCATGTGATCGGTTGTCTTAATCTCCCGTGTGTTAACCTTTTCAGTGAAGACGTTCCGGATACGAGTCAGCCTAAAGTGGATCTCTCACAGATATGTTCATCAGAAAGGCAGTTCCAACATGACACTGTTGACGGCTGAGAGACTTGTGTTATGGGTGCCAACTACTGGTTGTCCATAAAGTTGGGTCAGGTGTGGAACTTTGAGAATGTTGGCCTTGTACTTAACATTAAAAATTAAGTCCACCAACATTTCCACGGTGATGGAGGCTATGGTTACCTTGGCGACAGTGGTGGTGGCGACAGTGGTGGTGGTGGCGACAGAGGTGGTGGTGGTGGCTACAGTGGTGGTGGTGGTGGATATGGTGTGGGAGAGAGAGTGGGGCCAGAAGAGGCGCGTGGTGAAGCCACGACGACACACTCTCCCTGGCCGCAGTGTGGGGCGGTGTGTACAAGGTTCACTCCGGCGCCCAGTGTATTGCTCTGTACCGGTGAAGTAGGAGGGCAGCACTCACACGCTCGTGACGCCTCATACTCGTATCCTAGCGCCTCATACTCCTATCTAAGCGCCTCATACTTGTATCTTGGCGCCTCAGACCTGTATTTTGTGCTTAGTTATTTCACTTACGAACGTTTCATTTACGTGCCTGCGATGCGCCATCTGCCGCCGGTAACGAATGTTTAAATATTACCCGAAGTTGTTAACAATTATGAAAGTTGAATGACCTGTAGGTCAGTAGTGGAGACAAGAAACATGTGCGTGTTGGTAGTGTTGTGGGTGGCGGTGTTGGCAGGGGGCGTGAGGAGCACCCTGGTGCCCTATATACTAGGGGACACCACCATTATGGTGGACGGTTCCGCCCTCGGCTACAATTCCCCGCTCTTGGCTCACCTCCGGAACGGGATGCCTCTCCGCCGAGGCAGTGGGAGTTCGTCGAGCACCTACACCGATGGTGCCATCGTCGACAACAATCAGAATCAAGAAGTAGGTGGCGGTGAAGAGCAGGGTCAGGTCATGACCTGGGACCCTGAACCTTACCAAGCACCCCAGGAACACCTCACCTCCAACAGTGACTTCCTGGCGACACCTGACGGCATGCTGGATATCAACATAGTGCCGCAACACCAGGAGGCGCCGTCCAGTGACCCTAAGATATATAGCGGCCGACCGCCTCCTATTCCCAATGCAGAGCCTGCAGGGCTTCATTTCAATGAAGATTTGGCGTTCGCCAATTCCCCGCCATTTTACTACTCCGTCGAGAACCCCGATATCAGTCAAGTGTCGCAGAAAATTCACCATATTGTCACGCTGCTGAGTCACAAAACGGCAGGTGTAAAGCCCAATGACCGAGCGCCTATCCCTCTCGCAGAGACGCTTGACTACCCCGTCCAGTCGTCTGACAGTTCCGTCAACCGTCCAACTGCAATAACCAACAATGAGGGTTTTGCTGGAGTGTCCGTCATACACATGGTGCCCAAGGACTCGGACCATCATGATGCCAATTTTGCTAATCCTGGAGACTACAACCCGTTGTTAAGCAGTGATCCAGGTTCCTTAGTCCCTGGAGCTGAGGTAGTGCCTCTCCGACCATATGACCCACATGAACATTTTGACAGTTCACAAGCTGCGAGTGACTTCAGCGAGCACTGGAGCCCTAACGGCAACCATGTGCCATCATTTTCTCAAATATATGGAACTGGTAGCAACACACTGGCCACTCCCGACCAAGGCGTTTTAAACGTTTTACCGCCGCCGGCACAGGAAATCGCTAGTCATGACACAGACATCTCTGGCCAGCCTGAAGGTCAACTCGGTCTCGAGGTTGCAAGCGACGCTCGCCTCTCTGATGCCGTCCTCGGTGAATCACAAGGACTCCTCCATAAAACGGGAGGACCACAAATTATTACACAGGTGGAGGTCACTCCTAACTCAGATATTATACAAACCACAGTTACTACTTCTACTGGTCCTAGGGAAACAGTTACTGACACGATTTATCAACGGCAGACAGTTACTGATTCGACTGTCACATGGGATACAGTGACTGATCTGCAGGAAATAAATACTGGCTCGAATGACGAATATGTAACTGGCTTGATCGACCAACGCTACGCAGCTACTGAATTAACTACCCAACAGGAAACCATCACTGACTCATCCGTCCTGCAGGTAACACTTGCCAGTGACCAAGAGGAAATTGTCACTGACGTAAGTGTTCGACAACAAATTACTGCTGGATCCAACAACACACTGAATCATGATGAAATGACTGGACAAAATGAAGGCACTACTGAGGGCTCCGAAGGGGAGGATAGCATCACGGAAGCTACACAACCACCTACTGAGCACCCACTCAACATGGTCCTGGAGAAGGTGCTGTCGCACACACTCGAGAAGCTGAAACATGAAGAGGCACAGGACAACTTGCACGGTGCCACAGAGCAAAATGATCAACTGGCACTCAACCAGGCGATGGCAGACCTGCTTGGCAACTTGTTTACCCCAAACACTGACTCTTCCGATAATACCCAGGACGAAGTAGACCCACAGGCAAGTGACACAACGGACGTTGATAATTATAGTTTGGAAGAGATCGGGCAGCATCGTGATGATTTGCAACAAACTTTCGAAACTAGCACTTTGCCTTACGAAGAGCACACGTACCAAACTAACCATGCTCTTGCACAAAACGATGGTGATTATTTGCAAACCAATTTCGGTGACGAACAGTCAACGTCATCAGTTACCTCCTTTAATGGTGACCAAGAGGAGGAAGAGAAGGACGAAGGTGACGCGTGGCCGGCCAGCGAGGATCGACCCCACGCACTAGCGTCTGATCAACACAACATCCCAAATCACTACCCTTACCCCATACTAACCGACTTTCCCTTAACGCGAGGAGAGCCCGAGACTGTCGAAGTCCCTCTCCAAGTGTCAGAGGGCGGCCCCTCGCACTACTCTCCCGGCCTCCTCATCACCGGACCCACCACCCAGGAGCAGATCAGCGACACCCATGGACTTCACGAGGACGATTTCCTCTCCAGACACGAACCTCCTCGTCCAGATGACGACGGACTCAACACTTGGTTCGATCGCGACCCCATCAGTATTTTCGACCCACTGCATTCTGGCAGCTCAGGAGCAAACACCGGGATGCCCCAGGGCATCTTAGTCTCTGGCACAAACACAGAAATGCTCCCGGGTACCATGGCCTCAGGGACAAACACAGGAACGTCCCAAGCCACTCTAGTCCCCGGAACAAACATAAAAACGTCCCAGGACACATTAGTATCTGGAACAGTCATAGGGATGTCCCAAGGAAGCACAACCTCAGGGATAGGGGTACCAGAGCTGAGACCTGCACCAGGACATCCTTTCCCTCCCCTGTCAGGCGTGAACCCTGAGGGAATCACAGCTGGTGGAGGTTCTACTGCTATTTCCAGCAATCTTCCTCCCCTGCCAGGCGTCGACCCAGAGAAAACATCCGATTTCGTGGGTTCCACTATTATTCCCAGTAATCTCCTTCTTCTGCTAGACTCGAGACCAGGGGAAACCACAAATGAAGGGCCTTCTACTGCCATTCCCAGCAATCTTCCTCCCCTGCCAGGCGTCGCCCCAGAAGGAACCTCAGCTGGTGGAGGTTCTACTGCTATTCCCAGCAACCTTCCTCCTCTGCCAGGCGTCGACCCAGAAGGAACCTCAGCTGGTGGAGGTTCTACTGCCATTCCCAGCAACCTTCCTCCTCTGCCAGGCGTCGCCCCAGAAGGAACCTCAGCTGGTGGAGGTTCTACTGCCATTCCCAGCAACCTTCCTCCCCTGCCAGGCGTCGACCCAGAAGGAACCTCAGCTGGTGGAGGTTCTACTGCCATTCCCAGCAACCTTCCTCCTCTGCCAGGCGTCGCCCCAGAAGAAAATATAAATGCCGGAGGTTCTACTGGTTCGGAGAGTCCCCCAGGTCAGTGTCAGCACATCCCTCTTACTCGAATTATACAGAAGTAAACATGTTTAACATTCTTGTAACATTCCTCTACAGATAGTGTCGTGTTCACTCATGTTCCTCAAGTCACTGAGACTTAAAGACTCCAAACTTAAAGACTCCAAATACAATCGACTTGAGAATGGTCCAGGAAGGACCGAAACGTCGTCGTCCCTTCACCTTCTAGTGTGTGTCTGGTCAACACTCCAAACTTACTCTAATGCATAAGTACACACATCATGTTACCAATGGATTTTTAACTAAAAACACTACAAATTAACTATCGTTTTATAATTTATCGGGAATTTCAGTCTTATTTAAGAAAAGCAAAAGCAATAACAATATGCACATCTTGAGTATACTTAAGTTAAGAGACATTTCAGAGTCATAACACAATAGTCAGTGCCAAAAAGAGAATATACAACGCAAGATTAGCTCAAAATTATATACTTATTATATCCAGATTTATATACTCATTAAATTAATTAAAATGACAATATTGAAACCCCAAAACAAAAGACGGGGATGTATACACAAGAAAGAGAATTATAACAACTCAACAACATGCTTGAAAGAGAAGGACAACAGCAGACAAGTTGCTGTTGAACAACTCCACAAGGGCCGTGACGAGGATTCGAACCTGCGTCCGGGAGCATCCCAGACGCTGCCTTAATCGACTGAGCTACGACATGGTTAAAGGGTTCTTCAACTTCACTGTGTGTGTGTGAAGTTGCTGTTGTTTACTGAACAAACAACAGGAGAGAACTGCGAGCCGTTCACCTGTGGTCTCTCTCTTGTTACTGAGATGATGTTCAAGATGTTGACCAGACCACACTAGAAGGTGAAGGGACGACGACGTTTCGGTCCGTCCTGGACCATTCTCAAATCGACTTGAGAATGGTTCAGGACGGACCGAAACGTCGTCGTCCCTTCACCTTCTAGTGTGTGGTCTGGTCAACATACTTCAGCCACGTTCTAGTGACTCCTCGCCTGTTCAAGATGTTGACCTCCAGATGTGACGAACTGGAGAACACAACAGCCAAGTTGCTCTAAGATTAAGGGTGGCCCTTATCCTCGCTCTGACCTCTACTAGCGCAGACTGCATATTGCCTAAGAGGCCGACCAGACCGGCATGAGACACCCATAGGTTCACACACACAGGGTTTAAAGTTTCGAGAGGTATTTCCCATGTCTTGAACATTACACTTCGAACATTTAAACACACATCATCAGGCATTAGGAACCTCCAACTTACGCATCAATTTGGTATTTCAGAATCTCTTCAGAATTCCATAAAATATCTTTCTAGGAAAAGCATTTGAAACAAAAATATGCATGCAAAAACTTAACTTTAGTAACGAATAATTTAAAATTCGAACAGAGATTAAAAGCTCTGTTTATTTAAATTTTGATCTTATTAATTTTAAATAGTTATACATAAAATTTACGGCACACCGACATAACAAATTCCTTGATTCAATAGTTACTAATATTGAAGGTAAATTTTAAATATTTCAAATGATAAAAATGCATGGAATACGTACGGATATAAAGAATTGTCAAATATACAGAAATGTTCCATGATCTTCATATATATATATATTAGACGATAAATGAACAGCAGTCACAGAGCAGTTTACCTGCATCTCAGAGGTGTGAGACTGGGGTCAGGGGTCAGGCTGAGGGTCAGAGGTCAGGGAAGACAGGGGTGAGGGGTCTAGAATCCTTGGGGGTGTGTTTGAGGGGACGCTGGGCTGCTCTCCCGGACGTGCTATAATCTCTAGACACAGGAAAGGTTTACCATGACACAAACTCAAAACAAAGAGTATATAATTCCTGCGCCACAAACCTGCTTCAGTGGTTCTGTCACGTTATGTCCAGAAGATCAAATTCGTGCCGCGGATGTCCCCACCTGCCGGACAGTGACCCATTATTTTATCTTCCTGCAGAAATAAGCGACACCGTTGGTGATGCAGAGAATGGCAGTGGTGACAACAGCAGCCACAGCAGCAATCGGAATGAGACCAAGTCTTCAGTGTTCGACGGGGCGGTGTTTCACAGCGTTCATCCGGAGCTCATCCAGAAGTCGTCGTGCAGTTAGTAATCTGTAATGTTGTACACATATGTATATATACACCAAGCACAGTGCATCTCAGTACTCATAAAGTGAAGGCACTCACAGCCTGCTGCTCATAAGTACTCATAAAGTGAAGGCACTCACAGCCTGCTGCTCATAAGTACTCATAAAGTGAAGGCACTCACAGCCTGCTGCTCATAAGTACTCATAAAGTGAAGGCACTCACAGCCTGCTGCTCACACCCTCACGTGAGCCAGTCAGTACCAGTAGTGGTACAGTTCTTGCCCCACAGCCTCGTTTCCCCGTTGGTAAAATCTTATTGCTTTTGAGAAGTTTAACATCACACTAATAATGGCAGTTTGCTACTGCCGACGACAGAGTATGATAGGTTGGTGCTCCCATCCACTTCGTGGCTTTGGTCAATGTTTTCATTAAGCAGCTGGCCAATATAGATACTATACATTGGTGTTTACATACGGATTTGATACAAGTCTTGGTATTTATATACATTTATTCCTGACATAATATTGAATTAGTATTATTGGCAACATCTTTTTTGTTAATAATATTCTAAACAGTTGCATATTCCTGGTGATACTTATTGGTGTAAATGATTAATATGTAACTGAGGCGTTTACGGAACAATGCTAATAATCCGTTACCTGCTTTAGTGTTCCTGGAGGCTGCTGAATCACCATAGTGGCACACGCTTTCTTATAACAACTGCTTACTTACTTGTAGGGTGTGGCCTACGTCTGACCTCCAAGATCGTAGGAGGGCAGCCGACGGACATTAATCAGTTCCCGTGGATGGGAGCCATCGTGACCGCGAGTACAGGCTTCACCTTCTGTGGCGGGTCAGTCATCAATGACCGCTACATGCTGACCGCCGGCCACTGTGTCAATGGGTCAGTTACGCTCCTCTGCCTCTATGTGGTGCGGCCACTGTCGGGTGGTAATGTCATTATTCATTTGTCCATAGATAGTTAGATAGGTATTAATGAGAAGTGTTTCGGAAGGTGTATTATACAGTACTTGGGGTATGTGACCGTTGTCAAGCAGGCTACTATGAAGATCAAACCACACATCAGAAGCTGAGACGACGATGTTTCGGTCCGTCCTCGACCATTATCACAATCGACTTGATAATGGTCCAGGACGGACCGAACCGTCGTCGTCTCATCATCATCTAGTGTGTGGTTTGGTCATCATATCTTCAGCCACGTTATTGTGACTCATCGTCTGTATAGGCTACAGTGAGATATATATTATATAACACAATTACATCAATTTGTATATAACATATAACTATCATATTTGCATAAAATTATGTATGATTTCCGAAATGCCAGTAGTACAATAACACTGACACTCACCACTATTATAATGACAACACGACATGTTGTGTCTGGCAGGCGCCAACCATCAGACCTGATGGTCAGGCTGGGGGAGACGACCAGGAGTGGAGGTCAAGGCATCCTCATCCCTGTCCAGGAGGTCATCCTTCATCCCAAGTAAGCCAGTTGTTGTTTGCTCTCTTAGTCTGTCTGTCTCTCTCTCAGTAGATTATTTCCTGACCCAGAAGGCGAGCAAGATATTCACACACAAATCACAATAGCGTGATATATCAAATGAACAGATCCACAAGGGCCGTGATGAGGGTTCGAACCTACGCACGGGATGTTCCCAGATGCGCCTTAGTCAATTGTACCACGACATGGTCAAAAGACTTGCAACCTGGAGTGTTACTGCCCTGACGAGGATCCTGAAACTTTAGAACCCTCAATACGGCCCTTGTGGGCGTGTTCAAGACATTTACAATATATATTTAAACCCGTCAACATCTGTTCCGTTAAGGCTAATAGCAGCCTTGGCCGTCGACATGTAAAGGACCAATAAGCTATGTGAATAACACTATGCGCAACTTTGAAATGCCTTTCTGGTAAGGATTGTAGTGTCAACTGATTCCACTTGTGTTGATGTGACGATGTGAATTTTGTAACTAGCTCATCAAGACTGTAACTTGTTTAATGAATTGTGGGGTTCAGTCCCTGAGCCCATTATGTGCGTCTGTAACCCTTGCCCCTACCGCCCACAAGATGGGTATAGGGTGAACTAAACTAACTGTAGTGTCCCTGATTAAGCTTGAGTGTCCCCTTGCAGGTACACCTCAAGCGCCGTCACCCACTTTGACATAGCGCTGGTCAAGCTTAGTCATCCTATAGAGTTCAGCGAACGTGTCCTCCCTGTCTGCCTCTCATCCGGAAAGAACAAGTATTCCAATGAACAAGGTTAGTGTAACATTTCTGGGGGAAGATTCATGTGTTGAGCTTCGTGTTAGCTAAATCAATACGTTAACCAGACCACACACTAGAAGGTGAAGGGACGACGACGTTTCGGTCCGTCCTGGACCATTCTCAAGTCGATTGTGGAAACGTCGTCGTCCCTTCACCTTGTAGTGTGTGGTCTGGTCAAAATATATTTCAGCCACGATATTGTGACTCATCGTCTGCATAAATAAATACGTTATAGATAGGCGCAAGAAGAAACTAAACAGGGAAGAGACGATGACCACGTACGAAATACTCAGAGAGGAACTATCGGGACCGAAAAGACCAAACTATTTAGCATGGATGGAGCAGGAACAGGTGGGGAACTAAGCGCCAGAATGTGCCAGAGACAAAACATAATACAGTAGTTCTGGAGGTCAACTCTAAACACAGCCTCAGTGTTGAAAGAGCCAATCCGGAAAGTCCCTCGATTCGTACACCAGTTAAAGACCCACAGGTGGGACCCAACAACGCTGAGTGGATAGCGCTTGAGAGTCATAGTCCTAATGGCCCGGGTTCGATTTTGGACTACGGGCTCACCATAGCCGGTGCTACTTGCCACTTTTGTTCAGAGTAGCTGAATCTATAACAACAACAACAACCCGGTGGAGGCGGAAACAAATGGGCAGAGTTTCTTTCACTCTGATGCACCTGTTCACCTAGCAGTAAATAGGTACCTGGGAGTTAGACAGCTGCTACGGGCTGCTTCCTTGGGATGTGTGCGTGTGTGTGTTACAGAGAAATATATGTAGTAGATATAAGAGGAAAAATAGATTGGTTAGAAAGGCGGGGTCCAAGAGCTAATAGCTCGATTCTGCAAAACACAAATAGTAAAATGCAAATAGTAAATACACTCACGCACACACCTCAAACATTTTAAACGCATTTCTGGTGGTTAGTTGTACATGTTTATGATTTCTAGGTGAGGTAGTGGTTGGCGGGTGAAAAAAAAATTATTTTTAGTTTTGTATTATATAATGCTGATATTATATAATGCTCAGTCATACACCTGGAAGTGAATATCAGGCAATTTTTGTTAAACGCCTAATGTAATTAGCCTAGTCTAGCCAAGATTTTCTTAAAGCCTTAAGCCTTAAATAGGCTCGTAGTTCAGTGGGTTTGTTTTCCCAGGGGGTAGAAATAGCCTAAGCTACTCTATCCCTTTGAGATGTATTTTCTTGTCTTAATAAACATACTTGGATTGAATCTATTCCCGGGTGAGACAGAAATGCTTAGGTGTGTTTCATTTCACCTAATGCCGCTGTTCACCTAACAGTAAATAAGTACCCGAGAGTTTGGCAACTGTTGTACCCTGGGGAAGGTCAGTAGTTCGACCTTAGGGGTGGTGGTAGTGTATATATATTCACAGGCTTCCTGTCCCCATCAAAAAGAATTATTATATATTACGGATCCTTAATATTTGGGACTTAAAGTGTTAAGATTTCTCTATGATTGTCTGAGGCAGATTGACAGTAGAGATGAGGTAGGTTGGTAGAAATTTACTCAGATCATAGTTCTTACTCACGAAGACAGGAAGCCGGCGGCTTGTCAAATGGCCCCTCATCATTATTCCTGTGAGTAGTAGAACAAACGGATTACATAGGACTCAAAAGGTCTTAATTCAGTCCCTATGAATCCTCTTTGGTGCTGAGTATTAGTATATATGTATAGCCTCCACTTTATACTTAATTATAATGATTGTATACAACCGCCTGCAACTGTTTTATGATAATATAACATATTAGAGCCAAGTCATTTAAGGAATAATTTACATAATTTTTAGCATTAGGTCTACTGAGTTTACAGAATAATTATTGTTTAAAAGTAAAGTTAGCCCTGATTTTAGGCTATACAGCTTATATGTACATATTTTTATCTACTAGAAGCGAAGTATACAATGCAAGAATGCTATATATTTTATAATTAATCACCGCTGTCAACTTATATTGTAGTTATATGTTGATATAAAAACCTTGCTGCAATGTGCCCTTTCATGTTATCCGATATTTTAGATTAAGGACCTGCCCGAAACGCTATGCGTGTTAGTGGCTTTAGGTATTGTATGTACTCTATAAATCCAAATTTATGTTAGCAAATCATCTATGTATGTACTTTTCCTGAATACAAAATTTGAATTTGAATTTATTATTAACTCTTGACAGCCATCGTATCCGGATGGGGAAGAAACCAGTTCGGCGGGAGTGTGTCTGAGGGTCTGCAGGAGGTGAGTGTCCGGGTCCTCTCCACGAAGGACTGTCGACGTAACTCTGAATATATGGACACCGAAGTCCACAACCGGGTCCTCTGTGCTGCTGCCGAAGGCAAGGACGCCTGTCAGGTCAGTCCATTACCCCTCTGTATGTGTGTTGGCTGTGTTTAATATGTTTTTGGCTAGCTGGTAATCCCCCTGACATGCATCTGATATAATACATTTATTCGTGTTTGAAAGCAATCTTTCTTGTGTTTATGTGTTATTGAATATGACAAAACGTGAGATCTATGATTTTAGCACAACTTTTTTTATATTAAAGTTCTTTACTTGGGGAGGAAGTTGAAAAATTAACTCTCCAAAGTTCATTTACAATTGTAATAGTGCTAATGCGTGTCGCTGTAGGTCATTTTGCTGAAGCTCTCCTCAATGTCTTTAGAGAAAGAGGGAAAGCGAATACAAATTGGTAGAGGTTACAGCATATATTCCATGTTGTATGAGGAAAGATGAGGTATTAACCAATGTAATCTACATTCATATATGTATGTAATGATACACATGTGTATATGTATACAGGGAGACAGTGGCGGGCCTCTAGTACACCTGAATGGTGACCAGTACACCCAGATTGGCATAGTGTCTTGGGGCATAGGCTGCGCTGATAACAAGTACCCAGGCATCTACACCAGGATATCAGCCTTCAAGTATGTATTAATTTACTTATACAAGAAGGTATATTGGGGGTTAAGAGAGTACATAGTAATGATGATTTTACATTCTTGTAAAGCCACTAGCACGCATAGCGTTTCGGACAAGTCGTTAATCTAACATAATTTTTAGTAGGCTGTGTACAGACTCTCTTCCCCTACTACTTTATCAAAATAATCTAGAATGTTTTCGCTTGAGATATTTAGTAATATGACATCATTTTATGTAAATTTAGAATATATTTGTGATCTTGTTCTAAAAATGATAAGGTGTGGTAGTGAGCAAAGATTACAAGGTGTGTGGTAGAAATTAGAATATATGGAAATAAGAAAACATAAGCATGAATTTTAAAGCGTACATTGAAATTGAAATAAGTTTATTGAGGTAAAATACACACAAAGGGATGAGGTAGCTCAAGCTATTCTCACCCCGTTCAGTACAACATCGTGTTAATACGCACATATAAACACATCACAAACAATAAACATATTACCAAACATTCTGAGAGATAAACATCCACATTTCCTAAAGCGTACATTGTTTTTGTATTCTACGTTCATCTCAGTTGGTTTAAGTAGTTAATTCAAGATTTTCCCCGAGTATTAGGCCAGATTTATTTCACATACAGGCAAAGGATTCTTCAAATTATTGCATGGTATAATATAATAAATAAATTCTGAATAAATATATTCATATATTTGAATAAAATTGATAAAATAATCCTGAATAAATCCTGAAAATCCTGAATAATTATTTATTTATTATTATTTATAAAGCTTTATACCCCTTTCAGTTTTGTATATAATATTCTTAAACATTAACTAATTCAAACCTCTCTCAACACGATCCATAGCCTCTCAAGGGATTCAATACCCTTCACCTGTTTTCTTGAAGTCACTTTAGAGATTCCAGTAAATTTTAACTTGAATTTAAGATGAATAACCATGGTAATAATTACATTGCAGCAAGTGGATCCTCTCCAACGCCATAGGAGGCCGAGCCTGCCAAGGCTCACTCTTCAGGACAGAAGATCTCCATGCTGTAAAAGATGACACTGAGAAAGAAGGTAATAAAGTCAATATTAAGGACCAAAACGACAATGAGAGAACTGGTGTCGACAGCTTTATTGACTCCATACTCAAGCCTAACAAGCAGAAACCGGTATCACAGTTCAGCTTGACCATTGGCGTGTCTCAAGATGGCCAGCACGATATAAATAAAAAGAATAAGAAAAGGAAAAGACCAAATCAAAGTAAAAATAACACAAGGAACAAGCCTAAGCCGGACGAGGCGTCTCCCGGAGACTCGGAGAAAAACAACAATAAACGAAATAAAAACAATAATAGAAGAAAAAATAACAAGAATAAAGGAGATGAAGCACACACAAACAATCAAGATAACATGAAGCACAGTGAGGAGATAACGGAAACAGAGATATCAAACAACACAAAGAATAAAACAAGAAATAAGGGTAATGGCAATCGAAGAAAAAATGATAAATATATCGGAAATACGAGAAACAGAAACAGGAATAAGAACAGAAATAAAGCCAACAATAAAACTGAAACAGACGGGACAAAACCAGCCAATGAGAACACACAAACAAACAACAAAGGCAGCGTCAACAGCAACAAGAACAATAACCGGAGGACAAATAACAAGAACAAGGACAACACAAAGACAGCCAACAAGGACAAGGTAGAAGAGGAGGACGCCGTGGACTGGACCAACATAACCCAGGCTCTGAGAGCCATAGCCACCATTATAAGGAAGGAAGCCACGGCCGCCTCCGCCACAAACACCAAAGCTGATTAACTCAATTGAAACATGTATTCTGCCATTCAGTAGTTAAATGACTTGCACATGTATACAACATGCATGACCCGTCCCTTGCCGGGGGAACGGGGTCATGGCGACAGGGGAACGGGTCGTGGCGACAGGGGGGGACGGGTCGTGGCGACAGGGGGGGACGGGTCGTGGCGACAGGGGGGGACGGGTCATGGCGACAGGGGGGACGGGTCATGGCGACACGGGTCATGGCGACAGGGGGACGGGTCATGATGACAGGGAGACGGGTCATGGCGACAGGGGGACGGGTCATGACGACGGGTCATGGCGACAGGGAGACGGGTCATGGCGACAGGGGGACGGGTCATGACGACAGGGGGACGGGTCATGGCGACAGGGGGCCGGGTCATGGCGACAGGGGGACGGGTCATGGCGACAGGGGGACGGGTCGTGGCGACAGGGGGACGGGTCGTGGCGACAGGGGGACGGGTCATGGCGACAGGGAGACGGGTCATGGCGACAGGGAGACGGGTCATGGCGACAGGGGGACGGGTCATGGCGACAGGGGGACGGGTCATGGCGACAGGGACACAGGGGGACGGGTCATGGCGACAGGGGGACGGGTCATGACGACAGGGGGACGGGTCATGGCGACAGGGAGACGGGTCATGGCGACAGGGGGACGGGTCATGGCGACAGGGGTGACGGGTCATGGCGACAGGGGTGACGGGTCATGGCGACAGGGGGACGGGTCATGGCGACAGGGAGACGGGTCATGGCGACAGGGGGACGGGTCATGGCGACAGGGGGACGGGTCATGGCGACAGGGGGACGGGTCATGGCGACAGGGGGACGGGTCATGGCGACAGGGGGACGGGTCATGGCGACAGGGGGACGGGTCATGGCGACAGGGGGACGGGTCATGGCGACAGGGGGACGGGTCATGGCGACGGGTCATGGCGACGGGTCAACTGGAAAAAACAAGGCAAATGGAGTGACCTTCGACAAGCCACCGGCTTCCTGTCCCTCAAGGCCACTGGTAAATTTAGGTAATTCAAGTAAATTATTCAGATTAAAAATACAAAACTTACTAGAGTAGTAATTAATAAAGAAATTGAATTATAGTAATTGTCACATATATTTGTTCATTATAATAAGAATGTAAACATTTTTTCATCCTTTGGGATTTGTTAATAGTTATATGAGAACATTCTGACATATAATAGAAGGGAGATGTTAGTGTTGATAGATCAGGAATTCAATAGATGGAATAGGGTTTGTAATGCGAGCTGTATTAAGCACTCAGGACTAATTTGCATAGAGGCTTTGACCTTTTGAACTTGAACCCGTGATTAGGGTGTTGTGCAAAAGGTGAATATAGTAATTTAATGAGATTTACGGAGAAACAGCGGCATCTAAGACCAACGGCTATAGTAAACATAATGATTATATCACTCTTGTACTCATCAACATACTCAATGTACTTTAGTGGTTTCTGGTGTTATTTATTGAGCTGTATTTACCCTGTGGAGGCAATCGCCCAGGGGGTCAATGGCGGCCGACCACGTGTCAGACAAGAAGGATATCAATGACAAGAGCTCACCTTGAGCTGTATAGTCATCTGGGAGGGTAGCTGAAGCGATGCTAGGCTCCTCAGGTAGTACTTGAGGTTGTCCCAATATATATATATATACGTCAGCCAGTAGATGAGTATCCCAGATGCAAGTGGATGAAGTATCAGGTACGTGCTTGCTCAGGTGCGGTTGCTCTCTGTCTCTCCCTGCCGGCCAGGCGGGCCCGGGCGAGCCGCACACGGTCACCGTCCACCAATCAGGGCCCAGCTCCGCCTAAGGTATGAAATGCTCCCTTTGGCGGGCACTTTGAATGTGGTTCCCGCCATAATATAGTTATAGGATATAGTTATATCCTGTTCCTGTTGTTATAACAGGAACAGGATATAACTATCCTGTTGTTATAACAGGATAAATGTTTCAAATCAAACTTTAATGTGAGACATTTGCCCGTCATCAATGTTTCTTCCGAGGTCTTTTTTGGGTAGTAGTTATGAACTCTATTTATTTATTTATTTATTTGTTGTTATTGTCCACTGCGTCATTTTTGTTAATAAACATTTATAAGGTGCAGCCTAATAGCCTAGCTACCAGGTGATTATGCTTCATTTTGTATATAAATGCAGTAGTATTTGTATGTATTCATCATTTCATAAGTATTACCTGAAAACTCAGCACGGACCTAATAAAAATTTGAAATGTGTTATCAATTCAAATGTGGGTCGTCTACTCTACAAATTTGCTATCAGTTTACTGCTGGTTCTTAATGAACTATTAGGCTTCACATTCAATTATAGTTCTTAATAATATTATTAGGAGGCATTATTCACTTTGTTTTCTCGACACTTATTCATTTCACAATTTTCATTGATTTACTGTGTTCATACATATATACATTTTCATTTAATGGTAAATTAATTTATTTATTTTATATTTAATTAAAATTCAGTTTTGCATATATAATATTTGTTATCATGTTGAGCATTGTTCGTTATCTGTAATGGGTAACTTATGCCTTCATGGCCGTTGAATAATGAATAAAATAATGGATTTTGTTCTTGTGTATATTTTATTTCACGTTTCCCTACACCTGATGCCACTGTTCTTTAACAGTAAATAGGTACCCGAGAGTCAGGCGACTGTTGTGGGCTGTATCCAGTACAAGATCAGCATAGTTAGCCTAGAGGGATCTGACATGCATAATTTCAGGCTTCCTGTCCCCGACAATTAAAAAACAAAAATGTGGACCTGTTTGGTGCTATTTTACATCCTCTAGGCCTATAGTGTCCTTATATCCACCTCCAGATGTGCCAAATGTTGCAGGACTATGAAATCAACGTTCCTGATATGGCCATTGGTAGAGCCAGGCCTTAGTTTAAAACAAAAGTTATGCAATACGAAGACGCTGAAGAAGGATATCAGTCAGTCGCATTTGATCTCATCAAATTTGATAATTGCAGCAAATTTTAATTTCCGCGACGAACACTTTGGTGCTCTTCAGATGTAATTCTCATAAGTTTCACTTAGAGCCTCATGCAAAAGTGGGTTCAAAGACATTTTCGCGAGCCTATTCAGCTTAAAACTCTCTAGCTATTGTTCTGAAACGTGACAGAGGGAGGGAATTATCAAGGTGAAAACGCCAAGCCATTACGTTATATAGCACTTGGAAGGGGTCAGGATAAGGATTTGGGATGGGACGGTGGGGAAGAAATGGTGCCCAACCACTTGGACGGTCGGGGATTGAACGCCGACCTGCACGAAGGGAGACCGTCGCTCTACCGTCCAGCTCAAGTGATTGGACAGAGCACGAGTCCTGGCCAGTATCAGTGTAGGTGGGAACTGATAGCCCCGGTATCAGTGTAGGTGGGAACTGATATTCTCGTTAACATGTGCAGATAAGGAACTTTCTCACGATTCGACAAGCCTCATGTAAGAAGTGGATTTGTTCCTCTGACGATGCCACAGCTCGAATACGACTAGGCTACAAATATACCTAGCAGGTCGGTTTGTATTAGATCTATTAATTTAGAATAATTCAGTGTCAGGGGACAGGCAGTCAGTGTCTATATACATGTTACGCTTATATCGAGGTCATCCCAATATCTAATTACTGACCCTCCCCAGGATGCAACCCCACAACAAGCTAATTCCTGGGTTCCGATTTACTGCTAGAGAAACAGGTAATAGAAAATGCACGCAGCTAATTATGTCCCGCCGGGAATTCGAACCCGGAATTCCCGGTTGTGAGTCGAGAACGAACCCGATTGTACTGCCGGGAATGGGAAATGATCAAGTGAAAAATGTGTGGAGAGACAGACAGCCCGTTCTCATCAACCAAGCAGCCCGTTCTCTAAACAAAGTCCATTCCATGCACCCGCCAATCCCTCTGTTTATGAATGAAAAACGGTTTACACACGACTCACAACTGATGACGTTCGAACACTTCCGGAACAAGTGCTTCACTGACGACTGGTGTTCGAACCACAACTCTGTAAATGCTTCACCCACGTACTACAAATACAAATAATCGCCAACAGAACCTAAACACATAACCTAATCTAACCAGTGCCTAAATATGTACAATATGGTAATATAAAATAATATTCATTTATATATGAGAAAAGTTCTGTTTTGAATAAACAGAATGTTAAAAATTTATGAATGCGTCTTTGGGGTCGACCGCTGGATGGAATGGACGTTGGTCTGAGAACGGATTGCGGCAATACATAAAATAAAGCATTCAAACATAGCGAACCCTCGTATGTAGCCTACTAAGGCCGATTATCATCAAGTTGACTGGTCAATATTGCGGTGTTACTCATTTTTCGAACCCACAGCAATATTTACGTTGGGGTCGATGACGTACAAACCGTGGTGCATTTAGTGTGAAGACGAGAGATAAGGGATACAAGAGGCCATGAGGTACTGGCTGATAACCCCATACAGTTGCTCAACACCGAGCCTTCCGAATAGTTATATTGCTTCTATTACAAGCTGCTGTAATACTTCGTGTGTGCTACATGCTGGCCAACTGTGAGCGTTATATGTCATTCATGAGAGATATTCATGAATATGTGTCAGTATTTCATGTTAGTAAACTTTATGTATGAGTATTCCATGTAAGAAAATATGCGAGTTTTCCATGTAAGTAAACAATATGTGTGAGTGAACAAATCCACAAGGGCCGTGACGAGGATTCGAACCTGCGTCCGAGAGCATCCCAGACGCTGCCTTAATCGACTGATCTATGACATGGTCAAAAAAAAGGTTTAAACCGAAGTTCTACTGAAATTACTGTGTAATATGTGTGAGTATTCCAACCTGCCATCTAAATGGGAAAGTACCAATAGTTACTATAGATGGACCGTACAAAACATAGACTGTTGTACCAAAAAAAAAAATCCACTTTTCACTTTTCCACTTCCACTTCCACCTTTCTTTTCTTTAATTTTGCGCAGGTCCGAGAAAGAATTAGGTAACAACCAAATTAATCCTAACGTTCCCAGGTCTAGTATAGTACAAATATGTACTAAATTTGGACTATTATTGCCTGTAAGTTAGCCCTAGGATGGCATACTTGGGCCTAGGCCTCATATACGGATGTATGATATACATTCTTGTTTAAAAATCAACTGGAAAAAAATTCTCGGGTATAATTGACCTGAAATGATCTGACCTTTGAAGAAGTTGTCTGGACCAATATCCTTCACGTTCTTCAGTACGGGGAAACGTCTATGTAACAAACCGCTGGGTTCCTGTCCCCGTTGAGGCCAGTGTAGAGATGGCAGCCCTCAAGTAAATACATTCTGATTTACAGTCACGTGGCAAAATAGATAAGTATAGAGAACGCAGTCAGTTCACAACCACATGTTCCGGGATCAATTCCCTCCCCCACGGTAGAACAGGAAGCGTTTGGGCAAAGTTTTCACCTAATGTCTGTGTTCACCTAGCAATAAATAGACACCCGAGAGTTAGGTAACTGTTGTGGGTTGCATCCTGAAGAAGGTCAGTATTTTCGGTCAATAGGGAAGATGGTGGAGGTAGTAGTCACGCCACCCGCGTCCATGATGGCCGCCGTGACTATTGTTTGGCCAAAGTTGTTTACAAAGACTTTTCATGTGTGATGAAAGAGGTGAGAAATTTCTTGACGTTAATTTTAGCTTAAGATTGAAGATAGTGCACGTGTGTGTTGGTAGGTGTGTAAGGTGTGTGTGTGAGATAGGTGAAGCGTCTTGAAGTAGAGAGTTAGAGAAGAGGAGGAGAGTGCGGGTTGACCACTAACCAGAGGCCTGCTTGCTGTGCTGGATCACTTTCTCTACCTTAATCCATCTCTTTGCCTCGTCTTGTCCACGTGTGTGTGTGTCTTGAGACCGTACACTAATGTAATGAACACTTACCTTGTATTTCAACAATTGGCTGCACTAGTGACGTTAAAATATAAAGCGTGCAAAACTATCCTGTCAGGATCATGTTTTCATTGTATAAAAATTGATAATTTTGGTATATTATATTTGTTTTCAGACATATTTGGTACATTTGATGAAATCCCCAATAGTTTTGTGGCTTTCATGAGCCCAGTGGTGTGTAACGAGCGTTCACTAGTATTACTTCAACATGAAACTGGTCGAACCCTTGTTAGAATCTGACCAGATTATCAATTGGGTCAACCCATGTGTTGGGTTTCAGAAATGGTCGCCCGTGTTGTAATCGGCGAACACCCAAGAATATTGTGGAAAACATCAGAATATTGTTGAAAAAACTTGGTAAACCAATAATCTTTATATGTCAGAAGACCGACAGAAACAGGGTCTACTAGATCGTGACAGAATAACGGAAATAGAAGAACACTACTATAGGTCTAGTTGTGGTATTTATCTATTTCTGTATAGCATTTTATTGTTTTCCTGATAAAATTGGTATGGTACTATATGTTAGCTATTGCTTTTTTACATAATATGCTCAAGATTTATCTGTTTTTTATTCAATCTGTGATAATTTATGTGAAGAATGTTCCGAGAACTGGCATGAATGGCGTAAATATATTCATTCATAAAACTTTTCGTAATAATTTTAAAATTGGTTTTTATTCTGTAATTTTCTATTAAAGAAAGGAAAACCAATGTTAAACTAAATTAGTTACAGCCTATCACTGTAACAAATTGAAAATGCTAATTTAGGTGATTTTTTTCTTACTTTTATTGCAAATTCAATGTGCTTTTATGGCTATGGGATTCCTTGCCTCCGTCCTATCCCAGCTTCATGTCCTCATTGCCCTTGCAAGTGATATATAGTCATACTGGCTTCTCCTCGTAATTAGCCTTACATTACTTACTATTTTTAGTAACATGCGGTATAATTAGTGAAGTAGCTCAGGCCATTCTCATTGTTTGAGTGTCAAATATAAAGTGGTTTTTGCCTAACCAGAACTATGCAGAACTAGGCAGCTAATACTCATTAGTCCAAGAGTGTGTCAATATTGCAGTGGCTTTTAATTTCACTAAAGTACTATATCAGAATTCTAATGGTGTGGTTGACACCATCAAAATAGTGTCTGAAGTATTGTTCATTAGTGTCCGAGGTATAGTTAATTTTTTTGCCCAAAACTTGTTTGATCTGTGGTCGGCAACATTTACGCGATTGAACATTAATCCCTTATTTACCATATTATTTTGTTTTTAATTAAATGGTTGATGTTAGGATAAACCAACCCATTGTATGACATAAGGAGTATCAGTATAATATATCAATCATTTTATTCTCTAGTCTTTACAGATACTTAATAACACAAACTCTATGCTTCAGGGACAATGGAGGTGACAAGAGTTGGTTTGGTGGCCGTGCTACTGGCATTATCGGTGAGTGCTCAACCCACCGATGAAGGCCAGCTGCAAAACATTGATACCTCCAATGTGAATGGAAATTTTTCAAGTAATGACAAATTAAATGGTAGACCTGAACAAGTGTTAAATGTACATTCTACAGGATTACGGGAATATGAGGACCATGCTGAAATGAATATGCAGGTTAGTAACTGTACTGTAGGAGAGGGTGAGGAGTGGTGAGGGGGTAGGGGTGGCAAGGGGGGGCTTAGAGGGGGGTTAAAGGAATGAGGGTGGGGGGGAAGAGAGGGTGGGATATGGGGGGAAGACGATGAGGGTATTAGGGGGATAGAGGATGGAGTATGAGGTGGGCAGTGTGCTGAGTATGATGAGGGAGAGGCATTGAGGTATAAGGGGGGGGGGAAGTGAGGGGGATAGAGGGTGGGGGTAGCTGGGATGATTGGGGACATCTGTTAACATTTCTGGGAAGGGGGGGGAGACTTTTTGGTGGCTCCTTGCGACTATTTTGCCGAGACGTTCATAGAGCCACCGTGGCTCTATCAGATAGAGGCGTTTCATTACATTCACTGCTGGGTCCTGGCCTCTGTCTGATAACCAGCTCAGTATTGCCTAAGAAAGTGCTTCTATATTTTGCATAGCTCTAACTTTCATGTCTGACTTAAAAATCACACAACGTGCCATTAGAAAACTGAATGCCAACATACAGAGTCCTTGGATTCTAAATGAAAATCAATTTGTTATTTTACAGTTGAGTGACTTATCAAAGGTCCAAGAGGAGACGACGTTACCAGCAGAAAGAGAGGAAGAAAAGAAACAAGAACAAGACGTCGTGACAACGGAAGTACCAGAGCCTCTGCCGGCACCTCTACCCATTAAAAATGAAGGTAAAGAAATGTAGAGTACAGTATGGTTCTTATGAGTATATTCAAGTGATGAGATGAATTATTCAAAATGTTTAATTGTATCGTAGCAAAAATACCCAATTTGTCTTTAGTAAATACTTATATTGAATGACTGTAATTGCCTAAGTATAATTACCTAAGTTACAGGATGAAAACTGTGCTCATAGTGTCCCTTCCCTATACTGTAATCTTTGTCACATGACAAATAAAGTTTGTATTTTTTAAGCTTCTGGTAGTTATGGCATCCACTATCTTCTCATTTAATTTATTTTATTTGTCTACAACTGTCTTGTCTCTTTCTAATGAAACTACGAGTTAAGAACTGTTATCCTGCATCAGCTCATTTGAAGCCTAACTCTTGGAATTCATTTTCTGGGGAAGCCCCTGGTGGCTCCCTGAAGCCAATGGTGGCTCCCTGAAGCCAATGGTGGCTCCCTAAAGCCAATGGTGGCTCCCTGAAGCCAATGGTGGCTCCCTGAAGCCCCTGGTGGCTCCCTGAAGCCCCTGGCAGCTCCCTGAAGCCCCTGGTGGCTCCCTGAAGCCCCCTGGTGGCTCCCTGAAGCCCCCTGGCGGCTCCCTGAAGCCCCCTGGCGGCTCCCTGAAGCCCTTGGTGGCTCCCTGAAGCCCTCTGGTGGCTCCCTGAAAGCTCCCTGAAGCCTCTAGTGGCTCCTGGAAGCCTCTGGTGGCTTCTTGAGGCCTCTGGTGGCTCTCTGAAGCCTCTGGTGGCTCCCTGAAGCCCCCTGGTGGCTCCCTGAAGCCACTAATGGCTTCCTGAAGCCCCCTGGTGGCTCCCTGAAGCCCCCTGGTGGCTTCCTGAAGCCCCCTGGTGGCTTCCTGAAGCCCCCTGGTGGCTTCCCGAAGCCCCCTGGCGGCTACCCGAAGCCTCCTGGCAGCTCCCCGAAGCCCCCTGGCGGCTCCCCGAAGCCCCCCTGGAGGCTCCCCCCCTGGCAGCTCCCCGAAGCCCCCCCTGGATGCTCCCCCCTGGCGGCTCCCCGAAGCCCCCTGGAGGCTCCCCCCTGGCGGCTCCCCGAAGCCCCCTGATGGCTCCCTGAAGCCCCCTGGCAGCTCCCCGAAGCCCCCTGGCGGCTCCTTGAAGCTATTTTACTGAGATTGCTCCATCCAATGAGTTAGTTTCCAATGCTTTGCTTCCACTAGGAACTTGTCTTGTGAGGTGAGAGGCACTATTGTAAAATCTTCCACCACCTGTCCAGTTGTACTGTTATCACGTCTCTCAATGTTGGCCGTTCAACCATATTTCTAACCCCCTTATTTAGTGCTTTATTTTTCTATATATTTCATGAGTCTTTTTGCTGATTATCCTTCCCAACATATTCTTATTGAATATTTTATCGAATATTCTTTCTTTTTTCTTTTATAGTAGAATGTATTGCATAGGCAATTGTTACTTCATCATTTGTGATTGCTAAACCAATATGATTCTTTAATTAAACAGTTTATTGTAACATGGTTAATATCTTCGTTTTTTATATTTTCAGTTTGTATCACTTAGTTTTTAATTATGGAAAAGACATTTATTATAATATATACTGTACAATAAAAATCTGAAATATTATGCTCAAGGGTATTTTTTTTTTTTTTTTAAGATTATTTTGTAAGATAATTGTTCATTCAACAGGAACTGACAGAGATATAGCAGAGAGTAATGTTGAAGACTTAATATTGAAGATCAGTAATAAGACTTCATCTATTGTTCCAAGGAAAGAAGCCATTTTCACAAAACCTTCAGTTGTACCTAAGAAAGGGGTAGGTGAAGAAAAGCCTATAACTGTAATTAATACAAGTGATAAACCAAATACCTTTACTCCATCTGTATTTGCAAGGAAAGGTGCTGATCCAATGGAGCAAAATTCTTCTGTATCTGTACGGATAGAGGCAGACCCTAAATCTTTATTATCAAATAATTATAAATTAAACTCTAATGCTAGTTCAAGTAAAGCTTCTGGTCGTAACATGTTGGATCTTCAGTCTGTATCGAAGAATATTGGGAAAAGTAGTGGAAAATTCAAAGATAATCTTGGTGATGAAGAAGTGCATGGGAAACAAAGCGATTCATTTTTCTCGCAATCCTCTGTCCCTATCAGTGAGCAAGGTAATAAGTTGGCCATTATGCCTATCAACACCACTAAATTATCAGATAGTGCTCCGCAGCCAATGGTGTTAAACGCGGACACAACCACTATTGTACCTACAAATTTAGAAAACCTTATAAATGAGTCTTCTGTAGAAATCCATTCCAAACCATCCATTACGACTGATGATCTCGATGCAGCCAGTGCAGATCCTGACAGCGACAGTGTCAACTTTGGAGTGGTGATATTAGGACTTTCTTTGTTTGTAGCTCTTGCAGTGATTGTGGTTTTGATTTATAGGAAGGTCAAAGATATCTGGATGAGGAGGCACTATGCACATGTGAATTTCCTTGTTGATGGAATGTATGACATGTGAAAGACTAACGAATGATTTTTGTGTTTTTATTGAAATAGTACAGGACATTACTGGATTTGTAAAGTAACTCCCCAAAAATATGCATTTTAGAGAACTAGCAAGTTAGAAGTTTATCTATTTTGCATCAATGTTTGAGGACACAATACAGTAAGTAGTGTACTGAGCATTTATTATTGTTCATATGTTTGAAATTGCTCGTCTTTAAGACTTGCCTGGTATTTTACGCTGTAAAGCTACTGATACATATAAGTGGATCTTGATTTTCCTACATACATTTGTCAATTTTTTTTTTAGAAGGTATTAAATTGCATTTATTGTTAGGTACATAATAAATTCATATTTTTTTACATTGTTTACATAGTGTGGTACATTTAAGGTATTGATGGGCAGGCCAAGTAACAGTGAGAGCACTGCTTGGTTGCTTGGTGAACCATTCGATGCCAAGTAGCACTTGGAAGGGCTTTTGAGTGTGTGTAATATATATGAATAGGCCTTCTAGACATCATTCTGGGCTGGATTGAGTATCCTTTAGTGTCCCCTAACTATAGTGTGAGCTGACAGGGACATTTAAAAGATCTCCCTGCTGTGTGGTGCAGAATGTAGGCCTACACTGTGCGTAGTGCTGCTCGTTGGAACAGTGGGACCGACTTTACCGTATATGAGCACCCGAGTGATATAACTCTGAGTCAAATTGGTAGGTTCTTAATTATTGTGAATATTTTTCTAAGTTTTCTTATGTGAGAATAATGTAATGTCTGTACTGTATTTTTATTTTCTTCTAATTGTAGTTAATATCTTACAAGTAGATTTAATGAAAAAAATAATTAAGAGCTCATTTAAGATTGACGTATATCAATTATTTAAAACCATATTTTCTTCTTACAGTATTTATATTTCCCGAGAAGATGCTTCTCCAGAAATATATATTTTTTCCCTTAACACAGTTCAGCTTTTGATGCATTCCTTGCATGTGCTTATTGCTTTTTAAATATACACTTGCCATTCCACTTTCCGACTAGAACTCGATTAAACTTAATAAAACTAATATGTTTAAATTTTCAGCCATTAAGCCCCCCACATAACACAAATTTTATGTCAATAATTACGTCACAATACAGGTTCATAAAATACTATAAATTAGACATTGCAGCATTATTCAGGTACACATGGCACAATGAATAATATTGTGCATACATACTGCGATTAGGATACACACCATATGTTCCTTCATGTACTATCTTGTAATTATATCTAGTTAGTTTTGAGGAACACTTAAGTCTTTTGAATTCCAGTTTTCTTGGTAGCATTCGCTAAAATATCCGAGAGTTAATTGTTTTAAACCATGTCTTTTTAATTCCTAATAAATCTGTGTATATGCTGAAAATAATTCATTGTATCCAAGCACTGAAATCTGTGCTCTTCTATTTTCCTGTGAACTTTAAAATTGTTTAAAGTATTTGTGTGTTGCCTTCATGCTTGGTATAGGAGTGTTATTCTTCTCCTACTCCTACAAGTCCTACAAGATGCTCTCTATATTTTCTGCCACTATATTAATAATCTCAACATTAATCAGGCTTGGTGTAGTTGGGGCATTTTATCAGACTCAAGCCATACATCTATTGGTTCCTCAAGATTGCTATCAGTTCTTTTAACTTCACTCTAATTGACTCTCTTTCTCCTCCACAAGGGGGCAGGTTAGGTACTCTCAGATAAGTAATATGTGTGCGCGGGGAAGTTGATGCCAGGTGGCACTGCATACGCCATCAAACTAGTGGCCACGTCAGATGCCGTCCACATTGCTTTATTGTAAAGGTGAAGTTCAGGACTCCCGATGTGGACTGTAGGAGTGTCAGTGCTGCTTATATTGTAGTGCAATATGTTTTATGCTCTATTTACATTAGAATATATCTTTCAAGAGATACATTTCAACAGTCTTTTAAAAGAACTTGAAGGTCTTAGGCTTGTATAGCAGGTATGACATTTATGTATATGTTTAATACACATTCAGTACAGTATACTGAAGTTACAAAGGCAGTTGTCTGTGATTTGATGTTTAGAAGAAACTGACCTTCATGTGTATTTTAGACACATTTAGGAGCAACTGTGGCATTTGTGATATATTTAGAAGCAGCTATTGGATTTTTTTTATTAATTTTGATATATAAAGGAACAAGTATAGTTTTTATATGGAGGAGGAGCAACTATGTACTGGTTTTTATGCGTTTTGAAACATGGAGGAACAAATATGGTTTTCTAGAAGGGGTCCCCTTGGTGCATCCCGGAATTAAGCGCCGGTCCATCCAAGCCTTACGGAAATACATTAGGCCTCTGAAACTCACCCTTGCCTACTGGGATGCAGGACCAGAATCTGGCGGTGACAATGTTTTGGGTTTAGAGTGCTTCTGGACTTCATCGCAACGTGACCCAGGGTTGTCCTTTTGTTATTTCCTCGTTAGGATCAGTCCTGGCTGTCTTTTCTGATTTGTCTTTTGGTTGCTTCTCTCTCACAATGGCTGGCTACTTCTGCAAAATGTTCTATGGTGAGATAGCATCAAGGGTCACTGAACTTTCCTATGATAGTTGGCAGGTTGTCTTCTAATATAGCTTGTGAATGGCTTTGCTGGCTGATTTGAGACCCTGGGTTGCATAGGCTATTGTCTGGTGATGGGCGAGCATACATAGGTGGTGATTTTTCTGCGGTAATGAGTATTTCCATTGTTTTTGTCAGTGTTAAGAATTTCTGGAAGCAGTTGCTTATTTTGGAGCATACTGGTTTTTGGTAGATCAAAACATATGGAGCAGAGATCACTGTGGTGACCTCTGCTCCTTATGCTTCCCTTTGCCTTCTCAAGTGGGATAAATTATGGTCCTGGATCCTGGTAGGTGCTTGTGCATCACAGAGTTCTGGCAAGTCCCTCAAGGTTAGTTACTTTCGGGCTGTAGAATCGGCATGCTGCTGAGTGTTCCACCAGAAAGATGTGTCTCATAACATTCAGAGCTAGGCATTTGAAGGAACAATAAGGAAATGCCTCTATATGTACAGTTTCACTGAGCTAAGAATAAGAATAATTAGTTTTATTATATTTTGATTATCACTGGTAGTGTTAAGTGGGTTTTGAACCCTTGTAAATTTGCTGTGACTCGTTAGAGGTCACTTGCATGTCTTCCTAGAGCACCTCGTGTTTACAACTAGGGTTAACAGTGTCCACAGTGTGTGAGCTTTCTTGATATATAATATCTTGGAGCAGTTAAGGCCTTATAAGTGTGAAAGAGTTAGGAATCATAAATTTGTGGTGCTAATCAGTGTATCAATAATTCATCCCAGTGTTGTGATGTATTCTAATGTAGGTGAAAAGATTATATTTTATACATTTTGTATTCCACTTTATATTCGAAATATATAATCAGATTTTACATATCATTTATAATCATTGTTTTTTGTTTCAAATAAAAGCATAAAATAATTTATTTTTTTCAGTATACCTATTGTCTATATTTTAAGCAGAACCCTTCAGCTGCTGTTCATAGTAGTGTACTGGCATCACCCAGACCACCACTAGTATACCAGGCCGTGTCATCTGCACTTGGACAAGTAACTTGCCGATTGCCTCGTGACATAGTCCAGGAGTGAGGAACGCAGTGGAAAGTACATCAATCCACCACCAAGAGAAATTGCTTGTTGTGATTCCCAAGAGCATATTCAAAACACTTTGAAACTATGTACAGTATATTAATGACAACCAGTCCCTATACCAACTCTTATCCAGTAGCAGTAGAGTATTAGCTAATACCACCAGGTCAGTGGTGTTCACCACCTTCACTTTGTACTTGGCATTTACCTTAAGAATACAACTCTACAAAGGCATCTATTCTTTGTACCTCACAAACTTGTACATCTATTCTTTGTCCCTCACTTCTTTCATTTCCTTACCTTGCTTGCTGCTGATCCATATGTTATGCCTACAGTGGGTCAATAGACGTGTGTTCCTTGGTGGACTGCAGATTATGGTCATGCCTTTTTCACCGTGATTGCTCACCGATTCTCTCTGAGGAGGGGTATTTGCTGAAGGTGGATGGCTCTTATACCCGCCATCATGTTTTGAGGAAGAGTCCTCAGTGGTTCCCTGGATCATTTAGTCCTCCCAGAGGTGTGAAAGTTTATGAATTATTCTTTGTCCTTGGCTGCATGATCCGAGTTTTTGGTTACACCTTTGGGATTGGGCGTGTACATTTGATGGATCAGTATTCTTTTTAATTTGAGTTGGCCGCTTCTTACTGGTTTTGGAATTAAATTGCTGAGATGTGTACAGTATATCCTTGTTTAAGTCTCCTGTCTTCCTTGGAGGCCTGGCATGGCTTCTGCTATACCTAAAGTCTGGTTTTATTGAGTGTGGGAATCGTGTTTGTTTACCAGGAAAATGTGGGAGATGTTTTTTATTACCATATTTATTGTGATAGGATCAGAGTTGTAATAGTAGAGAGATTAGGGAATTTACAAATTAGGTAGCTAGCTCAAGGAGCCACCTAGGACTCACCAAAACGAGTCACTTTATTATATTCAATGCTGGTTTTTTTTTTTTAGTCGTGCTGAGATGGCACAGTTGTAGAAGTAGGAAGAAGTGTTACTAGTGAGCTACTGAACCTGAGGATTGAACTTTACACACACAGTAGTAGCTATCTACGTGATGTGAATGTGGCTGTGTCATCACAATTTGTGACTACAGGTCTGCACTACAGAGCTCATGGAGGTATGTGGATACAACCTGGGGAAAATGGTATAAATGGCTGTACTGTACCACAGAAATAAAACACCATAATTACTTCAGTGTGCTGCATTATGTTCCATGAGCAACATTACATAACAAAACATTCATTGTAAGTTTACAACATATGGCACCTCTGCACTCTCACCCTAACTATTCTTATTACTCCATGAAATACAACACTCGGTGGCACGAGTGCCAGCCTACTGACCATGCATCAAACCACTTACAGCACTACTTTCAATAATATATAAATTATGAAGAATTCTAAATAATATTTGTTTCTGAATCAATATGACTGGCATCTTTAGTGTCATATTAGGTCTAGACAAACTACTAACAACCTCGGTTACTATTACGATTTTCAGTCAATTTCAGGATAAAGAATTATATTTCATATAACTTTAGTGCAGAGAAGAAGTAATTATCAAAAGAACGCACCAAGCCGGGGAGACTATGTAACCTGCAGAGAAGTCGCATTAACATGGCTGAAACAACCCAACACACACATGAAAAACGTGAAGATGTCTCGGTCACTTTCACAAGGGTCTGGGATGGACAAAATGTCGTCACTTTCATTTGTGTGTGTGTTGGGTTATTTATAATCTTTATTATCAGATGAATCAATTTTACAATATTAAGGATCCATTGTACATGAAATCCTAAATTGTAAAAATTGTGAGTACACAAAATGGGTAAAAAGCGAGACGAATATATTTGCCGTAACAAAATAAATGATGTGAAGCTTTCACAGTAAAACATCATATTTCAACTCTTATGATTTTGTCTAAGGAATACTAAATTTAAAATGGCTAAAAAATACAGTACTGTATTGAGAAGCTTTGAATGAGAAATTCAAAATGTCCATTAATGAGTTGCATCATCTTGATGGTGACCTTATGTTCTCAGGGAGGACCCCAGTAAAGCTTTAATAATTTAGACAAAAGGCGTGATAATAATTTAAACCGATAAATGTAATTATATAACAATTTAGAGGAAGACACCACAAAATAATGGTATAATTAAAATGCCACTTAGTCAAGAGGATTTGAAAACTGTGTAGATACCGGCTCCACTGGAAACTATACTAGAGTGTGGGGACAATGGAACACCTTATATTGTAGTATGTACATTGAAGATCTAAGTCTTCCCACTGAGATTTAAAGCAATCATTATTGAGAGAGAGAGAGAGAGAAAAAAAGACCCCTAGATCTTTTAAAACAGCCTAGCATTAGGCTCGGTTATAAATTTTGAAGTCTGTGGTTAACTACTTTGCATCTTATTGCCATAATTACTCAAATATTAACAAGCAACTACAAACTATGCCATGGCTCTTTCATAAATATTTGAGCATCTCTCTGCTTCATTTTTAACGTCTTAAGCATATACAGTATATTTATGCTAGTCACGCTGTCAAGAACAGCCACTACCTGTGAGGGGCTGTAACATCTGCAGTTACAGAATTCTCCTCATGCTGCAAAATTTTCATCTTTAACATTTCTGGCAGTCACATCTAACCACACACTACAAGGTTAAACATTTAAGTTTACTAAAAATATTACAAATTGCTTTTGTCATACCAATAATTACTAAACAATCATTTTACCACTTGGAAGAACATAACTGTAGTATTAAATATATAAAAGGTTATCCCTGTCATATCTGATATGCTAAAAAATATACTAGTTAAAAACTATAAAAATAGTTACAAATTTGCTCCTGTTGCAACTTATTTTCTTTACATTTTCTAAAACAACCATTAATCAATAGTTATATAATTTTTAACTAATGTCAATATTTATATATGTTAATTACCATTTTCTTTCAAGATAATCAATATCAATTAAATAAAAGCACGAGTAACTTGTATACTGTATATACAATATATACAGTATATATACAGAAACTGGAAGATGACGTGATATATGTAATGCTATGCTTCTCTGTCGGCTATAACAGTCAAGGAGCAATAATCAGCTATACAAACGCTCACAAACAATGAAGCTAACCAAGGTGACAATGCAAGCTGCTGCACTCTGTTATCATCCATGAAGGCATCATTTATTGGTGTCTGCCAAGGTGAGAGTGACACTAACGCTTATTCATATTCCTATGTGATTGTAACTGACACACAGTATAGCTTTCACCACCAGTCACCTTCCAGGCTTCCTCTACTTGCCTAACATATGTAGTTCAGCTACTTCATTCATATAGTATTACATTACAAATTAGTTGGAGAGCAGTACCTGCTGACAAGCATGTTGGGGAAAAATACCATTCAAGGATGTGTCTTTAACAATCTTCAGACAATTTGCTTGGAATAAGCTCAGTTTGATGAAACTCATACTGAATAAAATGTTAACTGAAAATAAAAGCAAATCTTTGAATGATGATGGCCTCAAAATAGAGTATTACAATATTCCTTCATAACAAGTCACCTTTACTACCACCACCTAACTTAGCTTAACTTAACTTCATTTACTATGAAACGGTGTGGTTGTGTAGCCGAGGCATCACCTGCGTGCACACTCTCAAGTGCTGCCTCCTTTGTCTGCTACTGTTACCAGGCTGGCTCTTGCTCAGTGGAATGTAAATCTGTATATGCCTTCAAATAACAAGGTGGCAAAATTACACAAACCCACACACATTAAATAAGTAATGGTGCGTGAAGCCAAATACCAAGAGGAGAAACTAACACACACGTAACTGAGGAAACAGGTTGTTACTGTACATTTAACAATCAAAAATTTTCTAATCATAAAATGTGCATAGTCTGGCCAATTATTGACTCCATATACACATACACACAATGTGAACACTCAAATCAGACCTTCAATATATTTTTGCCATATGTAATTGAAATAATTTATTAACACACATTAAAAAAGGTTTTACTGTATATCACGTGTGTTAATGAGAGTCGGCGTAAGATTTTCAAAAATATACGTGGCAGTAGTTCAGGCAAGAATGGAGAAGGGTGGGGGATAGATGAGGGGGGGGGTCTTGGGGGCGGATGCATCCAAGTGCTCTTCTAAAACCCCTGGGGTACCTCACTGCCATCTCATCCTTTTATATAAATATCTATAGATGTTAAAATAAGTGCAGTAGATTCCCATTCCAACAGAAAATCAGATGCACTGAAAGATTTTTGCTCAGGTTAGTGTTGAATGCAACAAATATAATCCTACTAATCTGGATATACAGTACCAGATTAGTTCAAACAGTTGGCTCACACCAAGAGTGTGGAGCCAGTTGTTCAGCTCAAGTGGAAAGCCACTGTGCAAGTCTTAACAAATTACAATGTCTATAGAAAGCAATAATTTTTCAATAGTTCACTAAAGTGATACCAGTATAACCCTTCTCGTGAATACTTTAATGCAAACATTAATTCTTTGATAAGAATACTGTATGTAATTTTATGCTTGTAAGAACTCTTAAAATGCTTAACTGATACGTATTACAGTTTTTCTTTGGCAGAAATACAAAGTAACTTATTTCTCAAATAGCCAACTGTGCCAAACTTATGATAAATACACCAAGCCTTAGGAACGTGCGGAGTAATCTTCAACTTGAGATAATTTATCATCACTGGTGCTGAAAAACTAAATCAAATACCCCTGTACAACATATGCACACACAAACACACACCATATAACCGTAGATTATTATAATTCATTGCGATTTAGAGCACACGGCCTTCGGAATTCTTGTCCACGTTCGTGAATCCATTTGTTGGATACTGGAATAATGAAGACAAAATATTGATAAATGTTATTTAAAAAATGCTGCATGATTTTAGTCTAAAATTTTTATATATATAATAACAAATTATGTTGTACTTACCATATGGAACACCACATGTATCTTTGTAAATGGCCTAATCTAACTTATCAAAATATAAGCTAGGGAGAATTTTCTTTGTAACTCGAACTATCTCCCAGTAATAAACGTCAATATCGTTTTCTTTCTACTTTTGAGTACTATTTGATAAAGAGCGCTAGTGACAACACCACACTCCTCAGACACCCGCCTTACTCTCCAGCCATGATAAAGTTTGTCAATTTTTGTTCATACCTTTTCCTACTCCTTTCTTTGTCCATACCTTTTTTTATTTCTAGGTGGCCTTGCTAAAACGAGGCCACCTAGAGGAAGATGGGGCAAACTTTAAGCATCCCTAACAAGCTCTGAAAATTCACACCTGCCACAGAAAAGGGAGGGTCATGGGTAGAGCCTACAACCCCTCTCTCTTGGGGCAAACTGGAATGGAGAAGTGAAAGGGGCACTAGTGAATAATAGTATAAACATTGAATATTCAACTATTGATATTACAGACAAAACCTTTCGCATGGCGAGCATCCTCGCGTGGTTGGTAGAGTGATCGCCTCTTAGATTACCACCATGTATTGTTATGGTGCTCCAAGGAAGCTATATATCTTGCACCGAGTACCGGTTACATACTTTTCTTTCAAAAGAAAAAATGTAAATGCTTTACCTAATGTTCTACTTTTTAGGGACACTTCATTATTTGTATACTGTACAGTATTTATATACAAGGAAAGAATAGGATATTTTGTTAAAATTTTGGTGTGTAAATGGTAGCCTTGTATGGCCATCAACACACTATGTAAATGTGCAATGAAGAATTAAACCTTAACGGGAGATTGGATGCAGTCTTTACTTAAAGTAATATTGCCCAATATATTCCAATGAGTGACAAGTCCACTCACCAGCCCCTAACAAGCAACAATCTCATGATTATGGATTAATTCTCACAGGAACCCATAAACACTAGAACTGTAAAATACAAACATTTAAAAATATACTGTAAAGATCAACACAGAAACATTGTGTGTGTGTGTGTGTGTGTGTAGAGCAGAGTTAGCAATGATCTCGACTTACCCCATTTAGTGCCAACTAACACTGGACAAGCTGCATGTCGTGTAAGTGTGTCACCCTCCCCATTTGGGTGCAAGTTGTGCCAAAATGCAGCAGCACCTTTCTGGGGCCAAAGACTCAAGTTGATGTATGGGAACACTGTCGCACCTCCGGCCTCCACGTCAGTCATCTATTGAAGCATTACAAGTCAAATTGTGGAACATTGCACAAATATATTTTGTATTCATCACACCTACTTTTAAGCTATGGTACTTGTATATATTTTCACTAAATCTGATAAAAATAATCAAAGAATATGTTTTAAGTCTTAAAAAAAGGAAACACATTTTCAAGATTTAAAAAGAGAAATAAATTATACAGTACAGTGTATGTATATTACATGAAACAAAACAACTGAATGGCATACTTACAAAGATAATATTAAGGCAAATCTACTGTTACAGTTTAGTTCTAAAATATACTAAGAGGCTGCATGTATCATTCTTTTCTCCATTATCTAATGGCAAGTCAACTGCACTTTCAATATAAAAAATAAAGTTCTGAATTTAGGCAAGTTTGTTCCTGAGGACGCTTCCCTAGGATTTGGCAGGTCACACGTGGCAGTGTGACCCGATTCATTGTTATTTAACACAAATACTATAGTGAATTAACTAATAGGTGAAGAAACGATCATAGAAACGGCCAAGGTCAACACTAGAGTCCTCTGCCACATGCCGCTGCGTCACCACAACACAAGGCCTAGCATTGACACATTCAGCTGGGTAAGTCACCTGGACAATTCTAGATATATATGATTAGAACTTTATTACCTTAAGTTTTTAAGGTAAAAAATGTAAATTTATGTTAGCCACATTTAGCTCAGAAAATCCCATATACATCATCTGATACAGGCTGTTGTCTAAGGGTTAAACCACTATGTCACTCCTTTAGGCAAGAATAACTTTGAAAAGGAGATGGAATGTTGTATAGGGAACTTACCAGCACAGCAGGAAAGAACTTGAAGAAGCCAAAAAGAGAGGAACTACAGCTCCAGGGCTCCCTAGAATCCGAGTCACCCAGGTATAGATGATGGCAGCAGCAGCAGATGAGATAGCCTAGTACCACACACATTTTAAAGAAATGCCACAAGGATAGTAAATCAGAATGGCCTAGGATGGCCAAGCACGCAAGCTTGGGACAGTGGAACTAGACCAAGCTTGCACCTAGCTCTGAACCAGGGGCGAGACAGATGAAAGGATAAACAACCAAGGCCTTCTTTTCCCTTAGGGAAGGAAGAACATGAGGGAACCAACTTATGCTTTAGGCTGGAAGGGGAAGGTGTAAGGTAGAGAGTATCAGTTGCAGCAATGCAAATGTGATGTCCACAATGGTTTCTGTTCAAGACGTATGAGGATGCTGACGAAGATGAGGGTGAATATTGGCTGTGATTAAGGATGGTAAGATGGCCAAACGACAAGGAAGGATTGCAGGGAAAATGGAGATAGGGTTCTAAAGGAACCCAGAATGGTAATGGGAGGGTTGAGTGACTATAGAGCTCCAAAAGAAGTAGCCATTGAACTTGCAGATAAGAAAACTAAAATGGCGAGGGTAGACCACGGAGAGCGGGGGGGAATGAGGAAAAAGTTAACACCTTCAGCAGCTGGCAAAACACCCAATTAGTGTTGTGTGTCATATGACATTGATGATGAAAGAATAGGCCTCGAGAACATGTGAGAAGTGGCACTAGATTCCACTATATTAAAACCAATTTTCATCAGTATGTTATATATGATGAGTAGACAATGTAATTAACATTACTAAAACAAATTTTGTATGACATTCTTAAAAGAAATTTCAGAGATAATGACTACAGGGGTGAAATTACAGCCATCAACTACAATCGTCACAAATTACCAATATAGAAACTACTGGGAAAGGATGATGGAAATTTATACCGTATATGCTCTTGACACACATTCCAAATATATATATTTCATCATTTGTTGATTTCCTAGACAATTACACGTATTAGATGATTATAGTTATTATTAACCAGTTATATACCAATGATGTTACCATGGTTTTAATAGCTGTTAGACTTGTTAGGCTTAATAAGCTTCCTGTCCTGACCATGGGAACCTATAAATTGAGTTGTTTACACAATATAGTGTTTGTGTTGAATAAATGAAACAATGAACATAAAAAGTCCAAAGTGAGTATACGACTCCTCTCCCTGTAGCAATATGTCGGCAACCTTCGTGTCTGCTGTTGAAAGACACAATGACAACACCACCTGGCTTATATCTACACTTCATCAAACAAGAAAAAGACAAAAATATTTGTTTTGTATTTTGTGCACAGGCAAGACAATACTGAACTGTATCTACTGCAACACTCAAAATACTATTCGCCTCCAAGACTACAGGCATTATATTACGTCAGGGAATGTGTTAAGATGCCATGGTTACTCGCTTTGAGGTATCATTCAAGTCATTCTTCCACACCCCCCTCCCCCAAAAGACTTTTAAAACAGGACTAAAGCTTGTCACATGGGAACACAGGACCCAGCATTAATAAAGATCTTCCTTACATTACCATATATAAACTCTTGAAAGTTTACCGATTACCCAGTCAACCCAGAGGTAATCTCCATATATTGTTTGAACAATGCAAATTTGGAACAATTACAATTAATATTTATTAAAGGAAAACTATATGGTATCCATTCAGGGTGTACTGTAGCTAATAATATATTATGCACTACATGCAAGAAAGCCAAGCACAGTAAGTACAGTATTAGTATCATGCCACTTCATGCACTGACAAAATATACACAAGTTTAGTCATCGACCCTAATTTACTTACGTAAAATAGAAATGTGCCCATGCGATTGCCCCATGGGCCCAGACCAAGTTCAGGGTTAATCTCATCGTTCTGTAACGTGCAATGTCAGTCCTATGTCAAATGTCTAATATCCTGTGCCAAATACATGGGACATGGCTTGGTACTGTATCACTAGTGTGACTTATTTGTTAAATCATTCAGTGATCCAGGAGCTATAATAAGATTTACAAAGACCTACATACAGTATACAAGGAACTTTTATGTTCCTCTATAGGTACATAAACTATAAAACATTTTGCATAATGACTTTCACAAGACATTCATCTATTAAATATAAACAAAGCTTCAAGTGTAGATGAAAAGTTCCCGTGTAAATATGACACTCGGGGTTGCAAGCTCCTGCTATTCCTATGATCAGGAAAATGCACAATCAGGACACATTGACATTTCACAATGGGGATCTTCTTTAACATCTCTGTTGGGTTACACAGGTGTCGGGGAAGCATTGAAGAACTCTCAGTCCAGTCTGGATTGATCTCGGGAAGACCACAAACAGTGCAGCAAGTCCTTATAACAAACCTTCCCTAATTTATTTGTACAAACTCAAACTTGGATTTTAAAGCTTTTCATGCATATCAAATTAAATGTTCCTAATAAATATTTATGTTTGCTTTACTATAATATAGTAGTGAGCTCTCTCCTGCTAAAACAATTAATTGATATAAGTACTGTACTGTATATACAAATTTAAATATCCTTCATACATCGAGTCAAAATACATTCAAATCTGTGAACAAAATTTAAAAACAAAAATCAATTTCTTTTATTACTATAAATACTCATCACAACCATGCAATAATATAGCAACATACAAAATAAAGTCCCGTATGAAGTAGCAATACATTAAAAGGCCAAATCAAAGATTATGAGAGGCAGGTCCAATATTAAGTGGTGCCTTTTGTGCTTTCTTCTACTGTGATGGTATACCGCTCACTCTTCCATCATTGCCTAGTACAAATATTCCTGAACAATATCTAGTACACGAACACAGATCAATGTACTAGATGGACTTTGTTGGCCCATGAGTACACTATGAAACTGTGCGAGCAGATACTTGGATGGGGTTCTGGAAGTTCTACTCCCCAAGCACTTGACTTGTGAGATTGATCCAACAGGCTGTTCCTTAGAGTGGCCCGCAGGCCCACATATCCACCACAGTCCGGTTGGTCCGGTACTTCCAGAAGAAAACTCTCCAGTTTTCTCTTGAAGATGTCCACATTTTGTTCAAGCAATATATATATATGTTCCAAATAGTACAAAAGTGTTAAGAAGTTTTGCAGTGTGTTATAGTGTTCACTGTCAACATGAATCTTGCACCCAACACACTCTGGGATTTCTCTTGTAGAGTATTACTCAAAGCTTTTACAATTTTAGAGTTGAGTATACATTGAAAGTTGTGCACTGTTCTATACATTGTAGAGAGAGAGATCTACACATTGTAGAGTTGAGCTTGGCAACAATGACCTTGCATGTGAGGAAGTATACATTCCTCACATGCAAGGTCATTGTGGCCAAAGACTGCCTTTAACAATATCCTACGAACATTGTTATGAATCTCATTTAGCTTCTCTTGGAAACAAAGAAATTAACTTCCCCATAAAATTCTTTGAACCAAAGAAATATTTTCCATATCTGCCTCGATTTATTCTTCTACATTGGAGTTGTACTCTACCAACCCTTTATCTCATATAAGAACTCACAATCTGAGTATATACTGTTCTGTACCTCTTATTTGACTCATTTTCTGTCTCAAATGCCTCCATGACTTGCTCAATCTCTTCCATTTCATAACCTTTAATTTTTCTTAATGTTCCGTTTAAACTCGATAATGAAATATTATCTCATGCCATTCTAAGATGTTTAAATAATTATTTCATTGTTTCAATATTCAGTACAAATACTTATTACAGTATAGTATACTGCAAACAATGACCAACTTGCCAAACCATTATTTATCTATCCTTCATCATAAAATTTAGTTTCTAAAATGTGGGAATTTACTGTAGTAATTTCCTAATCTCTCTGTTCAGGGTCACTATGCTAATAGTGCAGACAAATTATATTACAAACAATACCTGAACATCAGAGCACTCTATATTTACAATAATAAATTAATTTGTGTGTGTGTGTGTGTGTGTTAGGAGTAATCCAGAAAACTGAGCTATCCAATACAGTAGCGGGAACTCATCTCCTACAAAGTCAAGACGGTACAAAGCACATACAAAGGTGCACATAGCTTCACCCTTATTTGTTCACAAGATGGTCGGAGAAATGGTAACTAGATTTCAATCTAGACAAATGCAAAGTAATGAGAATAGGGACAGATGCAGTAGAGAATGAAGGGAAGGCAACTTCCTAAACAAGATAATAATAAAAGACCTAGAAGCACACCTAAACTCAAGCCACAACACAGTAAAATACCATTCATATATACCAAACTGGCTCATGTTTGAAAAGCCTTTGGGAACTTACACTAAAGACCCTAATGATTGCTAAATATCCCCTGTGTGAGGGCCACACTGGAGTGTGCAGCACCTTCATGGAACCCCTGCCAGGAAAACTGTACAATGAAACTACTTAAGGTCTAGATATATGCAACATGTTAACAAAGCACAATGTTCAAAAGAAGGAACAACAGAACAAGGGAACCGACAGGAACCAAGACCAATGAGCCATAGATAGGTTAGAAAGAACTTTTGTAAGATTTGTAAATAAATGGAAATACTATACTCATTAGTCATAGTAGTTAAAGGCACCGCAATAACCAATTTAAAATAAAAATTGCAACTAGCCGTCACAACTGCAAGAAAAATGACAGGTTGGATAACAAGAACTTTTCACACTAGAGATGCTATACCGATGATGACACTTTTCAAAACCTATTGATGTTAATTTCAGTGTTCTATGTGTCTTTGACACTGCAGATGGAGGTGGCTTCCAAGGATTTTTCTTAGGGCATTCCACTTGCTGACCACCAGTACAGCATACAAGTACTTCTTATCATTTCTCTGGCTCATTTGTTTTCACTTTTCAATGATTTCCTTTTATTCTGTTTTTCTCTTAAGTGTAAGAGGATATGTTGTCTATTTCCCCCCCCTCAGTATTTTGTACAAGGTGATCATATTCTCTCTGATCCTTCTCTTTAGTGTTTTATCACAGGCACACACAACACAGAGCAAAGGAATGTGGTATGTGGTAAGGAAAATTCGTGATCAACCCACTACTGAGAAACTACATGAGATTAAGGAAAACAAACAAACATTGAATTCCTCTTCAAAAGTTGTTTGGAAACCATTTATCGCCAAACAACTCTTTAAACAACATAATCTGCACCACCGTGATTAACACAACTGCAACCAGGTGGCTGCCCTAGCCACCTGGTTGTGGCACAAGAGGCGGCACCAAACACACTCCCGGAGCATGTGTCACCACACCCCAGTGCTTCTGGACGAGACCTCATCTCTTCTGTACACCAACTTGACTGGCCATATGTTCCATGCTTTCAACACTTCACAGGGTCTCATATCCTGACACAGTTAGTGATGACCAATTTCCATCAGAATTAGCCGAGGTTCTTGGCTCCTCTTTGAGCAGGCCTATACACTTGGACGTGTGCAAAAAATACCAAGTCATTGAAGAAACCGTCTACAACAGTTTTGCATGTAGTCCACAACAGGTAAACAGTTTTGCATGGAGGTGCATGCTCATGTGGCATCACACACATCCCTTCAGGGATGGGAGCTAGAGTCTTTTGGTGGAGTTTTCACACAAGGAAAGTATTCCTTATTTATATTTTCTTTAATGTGTGACAGTTAATCTCTTACTACACTTGGAGGAAGCATCCCAGTCTTTTGTACATCATGGGCATTCATGTCACTGTGGAGGCCACTGTGGTATTCATCATACGATGATTGGCTCATCGGGGTTCCTCAAGTGACTGCCCCTGTTCTTATGGTAAGTTTCTTGAGTCTTTGGGCAAGTCCTCTAAACCAGTAGGTGAAGACCTCATTTATAGTGGCAAATGCATTGGGTACATAGGTACCTTGAGTCCCTGAGCAAGTGCCCCATTCCCAGGCACATACCCTGCATCACTAGATATGAGGGAAACCTAGGAACTCTGGGTATTAAACCTAAACCCCTGGGAAAGTGTTCTGGATCCCCTGACGATAGTCCGGGATTACCAGGGTATTCTGAATCTCCAAGAGAGTTTATGGCTTCCATTCACTGCTTTAAAAGGAGACATGGCAAAGAACTCAGAAGAGAATATTTAAAAGGGAATATGCCAAAGAACTCAAATATCAAGAGTTATAAAATGCACCAAGCACAAATAGCTAGGTGACAGGGCCTAGTCTCACCACCCAATAGATACCGAGAGGTAAGCAAAAGTCGCGCGCACATTTAAAATGAACACTAAATAAGCCTGTGACATAAAATGAATTTTCTAATGAAAGGACTGCGAGTAAGGAGGATGCACCAAAGTAGGAGTGACTAACTCCTAACCGTTTCAACTGTACTGTAGATATTACAAACACACTCAGGATTAAAGACCAAGTTTCTCTGGTGGTGTATTTGCAAGGTCATTAGTATGGTAAAAAGTAATATTCATCTAACATTTACATTATGTTTATAATTTAGGCTCAACGTCTCAAGAAGAGCAGCTAAGCTGGAAAGGATAGTGCTCTGTAACCCAACAGGACTGTTCAACACTGAAGGATGAACACACTTTACTTGTTGACCAATCCACACACAAGAAAATGAAGGGAAGACGATGTTTTGGTCCGTCCTGGACCATTCTCAAGTCAAAAGTCGATTCACAATTGACTTGAGAATGGTCCAGGACGGACCGAAACGTCGTCGTCCCTTCACCTTCTAGTGTGTGGTCTGGTCAACATTCTTCAGCCACGTTATTGTGACTCATTGCCTGCACACTTTATTTGTTCCCTATCCGCTGGATACAGAGAAGTGGTTAACTGCCCAGTTGAAGGGACAAGACATGTTTTGAAAATGTTCTTGTCTACATGGGTAGAAAAGTCATCCAATGTCTATCGTGATCCGAATACCCTAATAGTCAGTACCACAAATTATGAGAGCTGTCGAAGCATTGTCCAGAAAGTGGCATTACAATACACTTTTTTTCAGCCTAAAATGTTGGTAACACAAACTCTAAGTTTATGACAACATATGATATTATTCACAACAGAAGTCAATAAAGTCAAAAGCTAAAAATAAAACTGGGAAACTTGCTTTAATATAATCAATAAAGTAATGTGGAAACAATGAACAAATATTTTAAAACATTAAAACCAAAATTGTAATGTTGGTGGCTTCTAGTATATTTAAAAATTAAAACAAACTGAACTGGAAAATAATTTAAAGTACACCCAACTCTCACACATGAAGAGATAGTGATGACATTTTGTTCCATCCAACCGAAACGTCGTCATCATCCTATTTTTCACGTGTGTGGGATGGGAGTCTAATTTTCAGCTGTTATTGTGACTTGCTCTCTGCTTAATACATAAGGTCCAACCATCAACAAATTGGCAAGTCAATCTATGTCTGACAGTTAATGTCATATGATAAATCTTCAAAGTAACAAATAAATACAGTAATTCCATTTGTCATATGTACCTGGATGGGGTTCTGGGAGTTCTTCTACTCCCCAAGCCTGGCCCGGGGCCAGGCTTGGCTTAGAACGATCCTTATTGTTTTAATGATTTTATCACAAGGAATTCACAATGAAATCCCATTAACATGAAGTATCAATGAGAATCTGCAGGAATCATGATGAGGCCTCAAAACTGCTCACTTTGCACTCCCAAGATAACACCCTAGACCACTACACCACTGTTTGTACATGGCACAATATATATGTCAAGTCGGTAGTCTTGATTGTCTGAATAAGTCTGGTGTTTTAGGCATTTACAATCATTGTAAAGGAACACAAGAAGCACACTCACAAGCTCTGTTTGGTAGTAACATTAGCAGGTGCAAGCTATTATTAATTAGCACGAGGAAACATGGAAAAGTAAATAAATATATTTCAAATAAATCATTAAAGGTCGTATGCAACAAAAGATTTTATTTCTTCTAACATGAAATATATTATAGAGCTTCATTTTTTCTAACACTTGCATGCAGTAGTAGCTTCAGTGATGAGGCAGCAAGAAATTCATTACAGCGATCAGTGTTGCACAACCTTCTCAACGTGGTCTGCATTATGTACATTTGTAGCATTGTGGCGAGCTTGGCGAGGAGGGTATAAACCACCAGTGTGTGATGACATTTCCCTTAAAGACCCAGAGTTTATAACACCCACAACTTATATTATCACTAATTTAATTGGTAAGGTATACAAATAAAGCTTAAATGTTATTCTTTTCAATTTCCAATTTCTAGACTGTTATATAAAATCTTAGTGTGGTTTGTTATCGTCCACTTGAGCACATTATTTCATTGAGAGAAATGACTGCAAGACCCCATACATGCACCAAATTTTAATTACTAGGAGCTCTTTAGACACCAACAAGTTTCCAGTCCTTAGATGTTTTATGTTTGTAACTTGATGACATGTTTACTAAGGAATTATAATGGATGTTGGAAAATTATTGTACAAACCCACAATGCCTCGAGTGACCTCATAAATGTAGTGAGCAATCTTCATCAATGTAAGAAAAATAAACGTGTTCTATTTATTCTGTAATAATTTCTTATTTTCTCAGATGACACATCACGACTGATTTTATGAGTAAAAGAAGCTTTAGAAAAGTTGCATTTGACCTCTAATGAAGCTTACCACAAAGACCTCGGCCGTTATTATCAAGAACTAATGTAAACACTAAAATGGTCCATACTAAAATGAATACAGTTATTATAACTTGTCCATGTTTCCCTAGTAGCAGGCAAAAATATTAAGATTACAATCCATTAAACACAAAGCACATAGAGATAGCATCCAAACTTCCATCACAAAGTTACTCACATAGAAGAGGAAAGTTGCAATTCTGTTACCAGTGCCTAGAGACTTAAAGGCATCTTTCTCCTCTCGCTGTAAACAACAAACATGGTAAGAAAGTCCATTCATTATATTCCTGCAGTGATTAGTGCTCTCTAATAATTTACAAATATTGTTAATGAAGAAATGACATTAGTTAATCCACCTACACTCCAAATACATAAACACACTGAGAGATGAAATACTGAAAGTCACCTCAAAATCCTGTAATACTGTAATTTCTGGTACAGGTAGTACTAATTTCATTACCACTAAATTTAAGACAAAGAAGTGACAATTCATATACAGGTACTGTACACCAAATTGTCTCAAGGAAGGGAGAAGGAAAGAGGAAATACAGTATAGTTAAAGAAAAGGAGAGGGGGGGGTAGTGGGAGGAGGGGTAAAGGAAAAGACACACATTGTACAGAATCTATACAGAAGCAAAAAGATAAGATGGTTTAAAACATATCTAAGAAATGTCTATTTTCCCCTGGAAATGATTGGTATATTATATCTATCTAGTAGACGTGTGCACGTTTATTCCAGGTAGTAGAAGGCAGCATGGCTGTTGGAGGGGCGAGGAAGCCATAACTTTCTCCACCTCTCATGACTACACCACACCTCACAAGATGGAGAAGCAACGATATTTCAGTCTGTCCTGGACCAATTACATTGGTGCAGAACGGACCCAATAATGTTCTGCACCAATGGAATTGGTCCAGAATATTATCAAGTCCTGTAAAACAGGACTTGATAATATTCCAGGACAGACCGAAATGTCGCCGCTTCTCTGTCTTCTGATGTGTTGTTTGGTCTTCATATCTTCAGCCACATTACTGTGACTCATCGTCTACCTAACCTACCTTGCAAACATCAACAATTTACTAAACAATGAACAAAATATGCAGAACAAAAATATTTTATTAACAAAATTTAATAAACAAAACAAGTGCAAAATATGTCTAATAACTTACCCATTTGTCTTTTCTTCCATTGTTTTACTAGTTGCTACAAACAAAAGCTCCTCCAGCCAATCCTACAACTCTCCCTACTGTCGATACAAAGGTAAGATTCTCCCTCAAGTCAGTCCTACAACTCTCCTGATACACAGGTAAGACTCCCTCCCCCATACAGCCTGTCTTCACTTGCTAAGCCACACATATTTCTCAAATATTTCTTAAATGTCATTATCCTACATATAATACTTTTCATCAATACTTCATACAGTAATTTGGTCCATAAGAACCGAGTTTAACACTTATTTTACATAGATATTTTGTAGAGAACTATTTAATATGTTTTCAAGTGGCTTTTGTAGGGAAAAAAACACATAATTTTGTGAGTGTAAATATACTATACTGTCAACTGGTGGGAGACAAAAATATATGCATACTATCTGCTGGAAAATGTAGTAATTATCCACTCTTAAGGTTTATTTGGATAGAGGAGATAAAGATGAAATAAAAAGACAGCTCTCTGCTCTTAGTTCACCCCCCTTCCCTCTGGCTTACACTGATGATTGTATATGCTTCATTTGCAGTCTTAAAATCCCAGACATTATTTAAATAAGCAAGGTAAAATAGCAGTATAAAGTAAACCATGCATGAACATGGGGGTTATCAGAAACAACCCGGAGAGACACGTGTGCTGCTTCGGGTTTCTCTCTGTATTTAGCGGCATTTTGAAAGAAGATTGTGAACACCAGCAAAATAGCTGCCTCAGTCCCCAGCACTTGCGACTTTCATTGCCTCTCTTCCATGCCTGGGTCACGTGGCCTCAAATATTAACCACATTACATGTATATAACTTCAGTATTTCATATTTTACATCATGGAAGCAAAGGTCGCAGTATAACAGTTCTTGTTATCGAACATTATTTGTATATCCTTATCCTATGTTTAAATATTGTAATGATCAGAATTTTTTATTCAATTCCAGCAAATTAAACTCAAAACCTTACCCTTGCATAGTCAAAATGTGGCTCATAATGACCTCCAATTCCATAGTTTGCCACCTGTAATTCTTCAGCAGTATCCATTTCCAACCCTGCAACATATTAATACGTTACTTATTTATCAAGATATAGTGTGTCTGCAAAAGGGGCTTGTCAGTACCTCCTCGCGCTTATCTCTGGTAGCACCAAGCCTTAGCGCAACACACTAGGCCTCCGAGACCCATCTGTTGACTATCAGGAGACAGAATCTGGTTCATCCTATGAGGCGAGGGAAGCATGGGATCCAAGTACCCGCCAGAAGTATGCCCACCAGAAGGCATAGGTGCAACAAAACAATTAAGTGTTTGAAGGAAATTAAGTACATACTACTCCAAAGTAAGCAAGACAAATATGGCAGCCTAGGATACCTGTAGTCTCTGCTGGGTTCCTGACATTGATATATCACTTTCAGCCAAGTGCTGTTGGCTTCCCCTGGAACAACTGCTTTGAATACTCTTCACAATTGTGTTTATACTACAGTACCCATATTATCTGCCCTTACATTTCATTTCACCCCATTCAAGGCTATATATACTTTCTGACAAACAAATATAATGGAAAAAGTCAGGAAGGCCCCAACAGAGTCCAGAGACAACCCCAGTGAACCTGGACACACCCAGAAACCAGAAAATTCACATGAAGGACCAAGGAAGCCAACCGACAGGACAAAAACTCACCCCCATCAGCCCAGTCAATACATCCAGTCGAGGTACTCCCCAAGAAGAGGGGGTACCCAACTCAGATGTCCTTTGCATGCCATCTAGATCCCTGGAACACACACCCCAAAAGACTACGGCATGAAATCCTACAGATCCTGGGTATATGGAATGGAGATACTGGCTTCAAGAGGCCAGGAGTAAATGACCAGTCATGGTGGCACACAGCCTGAAGGCCTGGGGCATGCAGCCTGGATGCCTAGGGTATACAGCCAGGAGGCCTTGGGCATGCAGCCCAGAGGCCTGGGGGGAAACAAAATCCAGTGGTCTAGATGGTTTTCTAGGTTTTTAGTTTGTCTTTGATCCCTATGCTTTTTTTTGCTTCTGTGAGTAAACCTAATTCTGATTCTGGTTTAGAGGCAGATTATGCAAACCTCAGGAGCCTGACACACTTTGTGAAGCTCCATGGTACCAGAGCCTTTAAACCAGATACTGAAAGGGCTAGCATGGAAAATAATTGCATAAAATACATTTTCTGTAAATTCACACAACAGGTATCAATGAATGTAGCTTTTTTACTAATGACTTTGCTACTCCTCAGTAATATTACATTTAATGCACAGTGAGTTGCAACATCAAGTATCACTATATTCCAAAAGAATTCACTACAACACATGATAAGGTGTAGCTGGTGTCACTTATACAAGAGCTCTGCAAGCTATCAACCCTTAAACTGCTCCTGACGCCCTCACACAATAGGGGCTAATGCACCAATCACCTGTTGGAAGACTAGAAGTGCCCTGTAACTTTCAAGTTCTAAAGTTTCTATTAGAACATCATTCCGCACAAGAGACCTCTGGCAATCACTTTCCATGTTGGAAAAATAATCTTGAAAGCCTTAACTGAGCCTTAGTGAAAAATGGGCACTAAGTCAAGGGCATCTCCATCCATTTACTAACACCCTTTCTAAGAAGCACTGATGCCATGCAAAATTTTAAAGATTTTTATGACCTGGAACATATTAGTGACGGGGAAACGTTTATTAAAAACATTTAACTTTAAAATAATTTCTCACAACATGTCAACATTTCTTCATCTCAATACAGTAAAAACTTACATGATTAGAACTCCCCTCTTTCCCCCACACATCATCCAACATCAGAAATAAATGTTTAAGACATAGAAATTAAAAAATTTTAATTTTTTTATGCACACCAGGAAATCAACCTAATTTAGTGTGTGCAATTAGGGGGTTAAGAAACATTATTCTGGCCATCACTTGGCCTGCTAAGCTCCACCCACTTGTGAGGAGACTCATTTCAACAGTCTGCAATGTATTAAGATGTAAAATTTATGTTTAAGTAAAATTTATAAGTTATTCATACCTGTTGTGTCACTGAACATGAACAAACATTTTCTGTATGACAATGTGTCAATGGAATTTAGTATAAAACCTGTTTCTTGCATTATTGAATAGTATTTTCTTAACTACAGATAAATAATCACATTTTTTTCTAGACTGATGATCTCTAGTGAAAGTGGGAAATAAGGAAATGATAATTAATAAATAACTTAATCAATTTTTCCTAGACTTATGAAACATACAATATTCAGCTTGCATTAATTCCTCTTACCCGTTATGGACTCGATACGTTGATTGACAGTTGCTACAACCTCGTGATGCTCATTCTTCAGCCATGAGGATTTGCTGATGCGGTAAGATGCAGTTTCAAGCTCACCGGTCTTGTAATTCTGGACAGTTGCTCGTTTAAACTGCAAGTAGGATACTATCTCAAAATAAAGTACTGTTAATGTGCATGAAGAAAAAATCCTGGCAGTCTAAAGATAATAAAACCGAGAAATTCCCATGTGTTCTGGGGTTATACAATGCATTTTTCTGGTCCAAAACTAGGTAAATATATATTGTAATTACATGCACAAAGTTGCATGTTTTCCCCACATACGACCACTTTAACCCTTAGACAGTGATTATCGGTAATTGTTGATTCTAAGGATAATGCAGTTATCATATGAATATTACAAAAATTATTGTTTGTGTTTTACGTGTATGATGTAAATACGGATATAATAGGTCTATGTGGATGTAATGGAGTTTACCTTGACCCATGAAAAAATCCTGCTATCATTTCATAGTACAAATGTAGCTATCGTCATGAATGTTACTAGGGTAATGAGGTCATCATCATATGATGATTTAAACAATTATTGTTTGTTCAAGAAACCTCTACGTCTTCCCTCAATCACAGCACCTTAGTTCACATTTATTAAACAGTTTGAGCTCAAAAGCATAATGAGGCTGTCTATAATAATAACAATCTTGGGTAAAGAATGACTTCCAGCTTTGTGGAGTTTTAAATTATTTATTGAATACAAAGATGTAGAGGTTTTGTAAGTACAGTAGTGACATAAGTACTTGTTCAAGCCTGGCCCCTGAAGAGATTCCTGATCCGTCACATTGTCATAACACTGAGCTGACCCTTTCTCACTAACAAGTTATTGCCCCTACTTATACTATCCAAAGTTTACAATGTTCTAACATGCTCACATTAGATCTGCCATAATTCAATGTCTTAAACTAGCAGCACAAAGTACTTACATTGGGTGTTGCAAGTTCCTTAATGACAGCAATTTCGCTATCACTGAGGACATCATAGTAAATATATACAGTTGGGTTAATATGCACCATCTCTGTCTTGACAGGACTGATGCGCAGGAATTCACTAGGACCATGCTGCAAGAAAAAATATGAATTAGATACAGTTCAATGGCGATCAAGAAACATATACAGTACTGTACTGAGCCAAAATGGTGATATGATCATTATATACAGTACATACAAAATAGTATGCAGGTGTTGGCAAACTTGTAAAGGAAGAATTCTTGAAACCTGCAACTTCAAGAGTAAGAGACCTAAACCGTCAGTAGTTTCAAAGCATTATACGACAAAGAGTACTGGGAAGACGGGACATCATGAGCGTAACTCTCATCCTGTAACTACACCTAGGTAATTACTCCCCCCACCCACCCACATCCATGCACACTATTTTAGCTGAAGGTATTCCCGTAATGTACTGTATAACTTTGTAATGGCTAGGAACATAACCTTATTTTTTCCCATATATTATTCAGTTTAAATAACACTTATATAACAGTTTTCTAATACAGTAAATAGTGTAATACTGTATCAGGATTAATTACAAACATTTTTATAACTGTAAGATACAAAACACATTCCATTGGTTTTTTTTTCAAAACAAAAATTGGCTATATTTGACTACCTGATAATAGCAAAATAGCTTTTTGGAAGCGGAGGGCGAGAGCTTGCCTTCACCCCGACACAGGCGCTCGTACGCTCGCCGCTCTCTCTGCCAGTCATTAGCAACTTCAGCATTCTCCGTCACAGTATAACCCTGCAACATAAAAAAATAATAAAAATTTAATCACTACACAAAAGAACATATGCTCAAGTGCACCGATTCCCAAATTGGGGGCCCCATGACTTACTGGGCATCATTTTTGACAATATGTAGTGGACCGTAAGTTAAGATATTGTACATGTTATGATATGAGAGGGTAGGGGTCTACATATTTTGGGCATAATAAATTAGTTATTTTTGTTTTATTCAAACGCTCGTGACTAGTGACCCCAGCCCCAGTGAGATGGCGATATTCTGGTCTTTGCTCTCAATGAACCGAGATAGTCACAGAAGTCTGGCAAGTCGGATGGAGCACTAGAATGCTACTACCATACACTAAAGGAAGCCACTGAGGCACCACCCTCAGAGAGGAATTTCAATACACCCAATGCTCTGTTTTTCCACTATGAATTAATATTTTTTTTTTCTAATGGTAAAGATGGAAAGAGCAGGTCGTGTTTACTAGTATTGTAATAACCTTAAATACAATATGACATTTTGCTATTCCCAGTTTTACACCAACGTATCACAAAAACTGTATGCACGTATAAAAATATATAAAATCAAAGAGGGCTTGTTAAAATAAATACAACAAAAAAGAGTATGCAGTACCTTCTCTACAGCCTCTTTATCCATGGTGACACCATCTTCCCCACGTTTCTTTGCATACTGAGCTTGAAGGGCCTCCTCGTAATACACTTTGTTTCCCTGTGCTCTCTGGTGGTTAGGCTTCTCTGCCAAGAGTTCATCTGTCAGCTTGAGAGCCTGTCTTACGTTGCCCTGCATGTAGGTAGAGAACGCCAGATATTCCAGGATGTCTGAATGATCCACCGTCTTGTTGCTTTCCATCTCTTGACGCTTTAGTGCCTCGTTCATCCAGAGCATTGTGTGGTAATGGTCCCCGGCATTGTAGCTCTGGCGGCCCAGTTCAAAACAATCGGCGGCTGCAATGTGTAAAAATAATGGGATGTCATTAAATATATAAACATTGTTAATGTTCACCTGTATATTCACAACAGTAGTTTGAGCAACAGCAAATATTGGAGGCCAAAATGGGTTTAGCTCACACACGAAAATCACGAAGAAATAACAGTTTTAGGTAAATAAATTTAACCCGTAAATCATTCTGTAACCCATGGACTAAGCTACAACTGACCCAAAAATTAAACAACTGTAATTTACAAATTCAGGGCAGGATATAAAGACAACTGTTACCTACAGTGGGCACCACAAGCCTCACTTGTCATACTTTATCCTCCCTGACAAAATTAAAATAATAAGGCTTTGATGAACATAAAAGCTCCATGAACCAATTATGTGTACAGTTCAACTAATCAACCAGACAAGGGAATGCAGACAGTTGACATTAAAACACCAATAATATACCAAGGCCTCCCTTCCATGTGATGGGGTTATCAGGCCTCTGTCAGATGGGGGTCCTCAGAGAAAGTCGATTCAGCTGAGGGGAGCCTGCACCAACGTGGCCACTGGACCCTGCATTGGTTAGGGGCCACGGCAGAAGAGGCTCCTTGCCCCTGGGCGGATGGAGGCCCACGAGTCAAGAGCATCAATGCTCTTCCTCTTCTGTTCCCTAAACTTAGAGACCTTGGGTGCTCAATGCAACACAGGTACACAGAGAAGATCCCAATCCAGATCAAAAGGGAGCAAAAGCTGGAATCTCATCACCAAATTTAACACAACCTTAGATCCCTGCAGATAATACACGTGTGGAACCATGCCCATCTCTTAGAGAACAAGCAGTTGCTGGCTAACTGGTAAATGAACAATCTGGAAAAGGTCAGGGTAGCTGCCCTGTACAAAGCATAAAAACAGGAACACTAAACAGATCTACAACAAATTTTAGCAGCATTTGCCCATATTAAAGTGTGTATTCACTAGTACTGATATCTAAGTTAATAAGGCCCTTCTTAGTTTAAGAATTGGTCCACAACAGCTGCTACCTGGTAAGGCTTAGGGTAGTGTAGAAGCAAATACAATTTTGAACGTGACAGAATATAGTACTGTATAGTAATGTAGCTTCAAAATTATCTAAATACTGTACTGTAAATGTGATTTCTTTATTGTATATTTATTATAAAAGTACCCAATACAGTAATTACAACCAATAAAATCAAGTCTATCGCTATGGACTGTTCTCAGCACAGCAACACCAGATGCCTAAACCTTAACAGAAGATTACCTAATAAATGCTACCAAATATACCACTACTGTATATATTATGCCTAGAAATAAATTAGGCTTATTCTGCTATTGTGAGAGTCTACTGCTACAAAATACATTCACCAAATTATAAACTATGAATTACAGTAGCTTCTAAAATACGCATGTTCCTAGTTGCTTAGCTTACAATAATGCTTGCTCCTGTGTTTTTAGTCTACCAGTACTGAAGATACTATTGTACATTGGCAGGTACACTAACACCAACCCGTTCTCGCAAATTTAATAAGTCAATATTGACTTATTAAATATGTGCATAGGTGACATACTTAACATAATTGATACCCTTAAAAAGATTCATAGAAAACACCGACCTTACCTAACCTACTTAGTATGTTAAGATAAGCATCTTATTGCTTCGTAATTACAATTATTACCTAACCTATAATAGGTATAGGTTAAGTAATAATTGTAATTACGAAGCAATAAGATGCTTATCTTAAAATACTAACAAGGTTAGGTAAGGTCGGTGTTTTCTATGAATCTTTTTAAGGGTATCTATTATGTTTAGTATATCACCTATGCACGTAGTTAATAAGTCAATACTGACTTTACGAATTTGCGAGAACGGGTTGCTAACACACAGCCAATGTAAATTCACTCTTCCCTACCTAGGTATTCAGATAACTAGACTACAAAATTCTTCTAAATTAGTTTTTCTAATACAGTATTGCTTATTACTACAACCTCAGTTCAAGTTTTTTTTTTATTATTATGAATATTCTGAATTTATTCTGAGGAGGCCTAGTCGAGGACTGGACCGCAGGGACGTTGAGCCCTGAAACCATCGCAAGGAAAGGTAGGCAATTCTATTTTATTCCAGCATATCTTCATAATAAAGTTTCACAAGCTGCCAATCCACCTACCTGTCAGTTCTCTGTATGCCTGCTTCTTGCCGTAGATGTGTCCTCGAGCTAACTGAGCCGTGTCTAGATTGTATGTGTCCTGAAGTCTCATAAGAGCAACAGCCACACCAGCCAGGTCCTCTTCATCAGGCCACCGCAGGAAATCAGCCATGCTGGTCAAATTGTTCAACATGGCTGGAACATGACATGAATACCGTTAGAAATGCATAGATCTTTAAGGACAGTTAAAAATAATTTAGGGAAGATAAATTTTAATGACATTTCTTCATTCATCAACACTCTGGAAGGATAGAGAATAGTTAATTTAAAATATATAACTTAAGTTCACAATATGAATGAAATAATTTTTTTATTATAAATATCCAGACCAGACATTTGTATGAACATATACATGTATATAATCCATCTCGTACAAAAATCAGGATCGGATTGAGGAACCTGAGCGTATCAGGAATAGATGAGGGCCACAGGGCTAACAATACTGCAAACCAGGCATAACAGGGCAGATCTCTTCGAGACTTAAAATGCTTAACAATTTGGAGGAAGTTGATCCGGACAATTTCTTCAAAAAGTCAGATGTAACACAAACACAGAGCAATGGTTTCAAGCACAACAAGCCACAACGTAGAACTGAGAACAGATGATTTTTCACCCACATGATTATATGCCCATGAAACTGCCTACCCGCCTAAGCCATAAATGCCAAAAGTGTTAAATTTTAAAGTCCAAATGGAAAAGATCATCAAGGCAAATGGGGGGACTTTAAACAAGCCGCCGGCTTTCTGTCCTCGTCAAGGCCACTAGTGTTAGTGGCCCTCAGGTAAAATTCAGGTAAAAAAGGAAAGAGAAAAACAAGATAGAAACAGTATGTTGTGCTTACTATTGAGTATTAATATAGGCACTCTTAGGTAGGACAAATGAGGCCTTCCATAAACAGTACAGTAATTGCATGCCAAGTGCATTTTGGAATATCCAGTGAATGATCTGTTTAAACATTATGCTTCTGTTAAAACTGTTGACATTATGGGTGAATGTAAAGTATTTTAGCAAGCCATAGATGCAGGAGCAAGATGTTGTGCTTTGAATATGATATACAGTATACTGATTAAAAATAAAAGATTATGGCAAAGGTTACCTCATATACAGTAAATACATACAGAATTTGGTTTTATTACCATTAAAGCAAAGATATTTTAGTAATGTGTACCGAATATCAGACCAAGACATATTCCCAAAGACGGCAGCAAGAGCCGCGAACTTACGAACGTCATGGGCACGGGGATAGACCGCAGGCTGGCTAGACCTAATAACCCTGCGGACGACCTGAGAGACCCGAACCCGCGAACAGGGAAGAAGGGAAACCGGATCAACCCACAGCGCGTCCCCGGACACAGAAGCTGTGGCGCGCAAATAACGGCGAAGCGCCGCAACCGGACACAAAACATGATGCACCCCCGGCCTGACCAACCAAGCATCAACCACCCATGGACCCCTCCGGAACGCAGCAGTCTCATTCTTCGCCAGAAAAGAAGGAGACGGCTGCAAACGAACAAAACTATCACCACGACCAAAAGAGCAGAAACCCCTGCGCCGGAGGAGAGCATGAAGCTCCCCTACCCGACCCCCAGAGGCCAAAGCCAACAAGAAAAGTGCCTTGGAAAAACAATCCTGGACCGAAGGGGCCACAACGAAACGAGGAGACGAAAGGAAAGCGAGCACTCTGTCCAAAGACCAGGACGGCTCAGGCGACGCATGAGCAGGCCGGAGGTGAAACAATGCACGAGACAGCTTGCGAAACGGCGCAGACGTAACATCGATACCGAAAGCAAGCTGAAGCGGCTCCGCCAGCGCCGCACGATACGAAGCGACAGTGTTAGGCATAAGATGACGGTCCTGAAACAACCACGAGAGGAAGGACAAGACCACCCGAACAGACAAGGAGCTAACACGACGAAGACGCAAAAAGAAACGGAAGGACCGCCAGGAAACTTCATACTGCCGCCGAGAAGAAGCCCTCAGGTGGGACACCAACAAGGAGGCCACCTGATCACCATAGAGATGACGATAGACTCGAGTCAAAAAAACCATACGCGAAGACTCGAGGAGAAGATCGAACCAGCTACGTGACGTACCGGCTCGATCTGCTGAAAGAGGCGGAGCCGCGGGAAAACCCTCGAGTTCGGACACCGAGCAACCAGCGCCTGAAACCAAGGCTGGGCCGGCCACCAAGGGGCCAGAAGGACAACTCTTCCCCGGTAAGTCTCTAAGCGAGTCAGGACCTGGAGCAACAGCCGAACTGGGGGAAAGAGGTACAGGAACCCCCACCTCGACCAGTCGAGCCAAAAGGCATCGACCCCGACGGCCTCGCAATCGGGGAAGGGCGCCGCATAAACGGGAAGACGCCGCGACCACGCCGACGCGAAGAGGTCCACTTCGGGGCGCCCGAACGTCTGGCAAAGCCAACGGAAGGACTCATCGTCGACCGTCCACTCCGTGGAGAGGGGAACGAAGCGAGACAGGGCGTCGGCCAAGACGTTGGACACGCCCCGTACGTGAACCGCCAGGAGAGCCAAACCCCGAGAACTCAGCAGACGAGTCACCCGAAGCGACCAACCCCAAAGAGACAAGGACCGCATCGAACCCCCGCGGTTCAGGCAATGAAACACCGGAGAGCAGTCCGAATGGAGCCGAATCGTCGATCCGCGGGCCACCCGAATCCTCCCCAGAGCAAACCACACTGCCGCGAACTCCCGCACCGTACTGTGAGCTCGACGGAAGGACGGATCCCAACGCCCCTGGCCGGCCTGGTGAGCACTGGTCACAAAACCCCAGCCGAGAGACGACGCATCCGTGTACACATCGAGCGAGGGCTCGGGTAGGCGCCAAGGCACTGAACCCCGAAAAACCCGAAGAGGAAGCCGGTGACGCAGCAACCGACGCAAGGCCCCCGGGGGTCGAACTCTGCGATCGCGAGAGAGGCGGAAGGGGGAACCCCGAAGGAACCAGAACAGCCGTCGAAGCCAAACCCGACCCGGCGGGTAGACCACCATCGCGAAGTTCAGGCTCCCGCACAGCCCCTCGAGCAACCGCCGGGTGACCCGAGGGCCCTCCAGAAACAGACGAAGGCGGGACCGCAGCCGCAGGAGAGACTCCGGAGGGAGAGACAAGGAGGCGGTCCGAGAGTCCCACACGAGACCCAGCCAAGTCCGAACCTGAGAGGGAACCAGATGGGACTTCCTCCAGTTCACCAAGAACCCGAACCCGGCGAGCTGGGAAAGAACCAAATCCCTGGCTAGCAAGCAAGCTGACTGGCTGGGAGCCCAAACCAGCCAGTCGTCGAGGTAGGCCAACACCCGAACACCTAGGAGACGCAAACGAGCCACCACAACCCGTGTAAGGCGTGTGAACACGCGAGGTGCCAGGTTCAACCCGAACGGGAGACAACGAAAGCGGTAACTCAGACGCCCCACTACAAAACCGAGCCAGTCCCTGAACCGCGGATGAATCGGGACATGCCAATAAGCGTCCCGGAGGTCCAGGGACACCATCCAAGCACCCGGCTCCAAGAGGAGCCGAACCTGAGACAGCGTAGCCATCCGAAAGGAGGGGCAATGAACCCAGGGGTTCAGACGGGACAAGTCCAGAATGAACCGCAGGTCCGCGCAGTCCCGTTTCGGAACCGGAAACAGACGGGAAACCCATCTGAGGGACGACGTCGTTTCGACGACGCCCAAGCGTACCCACTCCAAGACGACTCGACAGAGCGCAGGGGAAGAAGCCTGCCCCGCCAGCCCCGACCCCCCAAGGGGGGAGGGGCCACCCAACGCCACCGCAGGCCGCGAGACACGACCCAAAAGGCCCACGAATCGTGGGACCAGGCGCGGGCGAACAGCGCAAGCCGCCCCCCCATCGCCCCGTCAAAGGGGCAAACCGTGAAAGGGCCGGCGACCCTTACGAGACCCAGAACCCCGCACAGCGCGAACACCGCGCCGACCAGACGAGGGAGGGTCCGCAGGAGGAGCCAACCCCAAACCTGACACCAGAGGCCTACCACGACGAGAGGAACCCCGAGCCCTGGCACGACCTTTCCGGGAAGACCCACCCCGGGACCCCCGGAAAACCAACAAGTCCGACATCGGACGACAAGCCGCCGACGCAGCCTGAATAAACTGCGCCACGGCCGACTCCCCAAACAGGAGAGGACAAAAAGGGGAAGAACGCCTAAGAGCCAGAGCCCAAGCAGATTCCACGGAGGAACCCAGCACCGCCTGCCGACACGCGAGACGGGAAGCATAGAACAGGGAAACCGCATCCCGCAAAATCGGCGTGAACAGCTTCAACAAGGCAGCCGACGAACGCGCAGCCGAGGACAAGGTGCCGGACCCCGGGACGGACCCAAGCGTCCCCACATCCTCCACGAGCCAATCCGAAGACAGCTCCAGGAGGGAAAAGAACCGTAAGGCCGAACACAAAAGGCCCCGAGCGCGCAAGTCCTCCGCCACGAGCGCCGCCGAAAGGGAGGGAACCTGCACATGGAGCTGAATAACGCCCACATCGCGGGGAAGGGCAGGGGCAAACAAGCACTCATTCAGGTACTCAAGTTCACCCCCCAGGAAAACCTGAAGCACCGTGGAAGCTTCCCGCCACTCCAGCGTGCGGGAACGACAGAAGGAATGCCAGGAATCCAGACCAAACAAGGGGCAGTCTGCTAGCCAGGATGACTCCGGAACCTCGTAACGGAGCCAGAAAGGGAACGAAGTCCCAAACCTGAACGTGGACGGATCCATTTCCGAGGCATAATCCGGGTCACGCAGGAGGTAAGCTGCAAAGGCCGCTCGCACCACACCAGGTTGGATGCGATAAGCCGAAAACCTCCGGAAGGACGGAACCAACGTACCTGGGGGAACACGGAACCGTACCCGGGGAGGGGCCGACACCAAATCCAACTCGTACGCAGAGGGGGGGAAAGAAAACCCCACTCCTTGTAACAATAAGCCCCGCTCAGTAGGAAGAAAAACCCAGGCGGGGTCCAGCGGGGCCCAAGGCCCCCAAGTCAGCCCCTCCCCAGCCTCGAGGTCCGTCACCACAGGACCCGAGGCCGAGTCCTCTCCCCAAGCCCCGACCCCACAAGACAAGGACGGAGCAGCCGGAAAAGCTGGAGGAAGGGGGGCCCACTGGTCAGACCCTGAAGCTTCGGCCGGGAGACAAGACTCGAATGCCTCTGCCGCCCCCCCGGAAGGGGCAACCCCCGAAGCTGCCCGAGTCTCGAGATCAAGTAACCCCTGCTCCGACCCCGAAACCCTCAGACGCTTCGGGGCCGGAAGCAGGGGCGGGGGACCAGAACGAACAGAAGGGGAAGGACGAGGAGGTGCGGACTGAACCAGGATCGAAGCGACCCCCACCCCCAAGTCCGGGTCTCGAAAAGCAAAGCGGGGCAGCCCCGGGGCATCCGGGGAAGCAACCAACCGAGCGCGTTGCAACAGACGAAACCTAGACTGCAACGCACGTGCCGCCTGTACCCGAATAGAATCATCAGAGGATTGGGTAAATTGAGTCACAAGCAAGCAGCAACACTCACAGGACTCAGGGTCGAAAGTATCACCGACCCAACAGGCAGCGTGGCAGAGGCAAAAACAATGAGGGTCACCCTGAGACAAGGGGACCGAGCAACCCTCAAACTCGCACACAGCGAGTGGGGACTCCGGGGTCACATCCATCGGACCCACGCGCCCCCTAGGGGATTCCCAGGGTCCTGAGCGTTTACTTTAAGAGGACTCGCGCTCAGGTAGTCCCAGGCAGGGTGCTGCAAACCGGCGCCCAAAACTACCAAGCAAACTTCTAAAGCTGAACCCCAGGGACGTGTACACTCACGGGGACCTAGCAGGGGGCGCCACCGAGGAGAACAGTGGAAGGGCAAAAACAAACTGAAGAAAATGACAGAACCCCCCACCAGGCAAAAACAAAAAGAAAAGCAAAACCCCGCAAGAGGACAGCGAACCCCAAGGAACAGAGCCGGCCGCGATGTCGGGAATTACAAGCTGAGCAGCACCCTGCGCCCCTACCAGTGCAAACTGCCTCTTACCTGCCGGTAACAAGGGAGAACAGAACACCCAAGAGCCCAACAGGCGGCCGAAAAACCGAAAGGTAAAACGGACCAGCAGAGGCAGACCCCGAGGAGCCTGTGGAAGGTGGCCCCAAGCCCCAAGGGCAGTACTTACAGGGCACCTAGGGAAGGCAGCCCTAGGCGCATGCAGCCCGAGTACTGAAGATAACTCCTGGCTCTCGCACCCACAAAACTAACACCACACTCAAAGCACAGTGCAGTAGCGACACCGGAGCCAGAGCACACGACCATCGCCCATAGCATCAGCCTCAAGAACTGAGGTGTGGGTAGCCGGCGCGGGGGTTCTGGGGCTCCCCCTTCCCCCTCCCGGGGAGGGGGGAGCTGCGCAGACAGCGGCGCGTCAGTGTGTGACGTCACACTAATTTGCTTGTTTTCGGTTGGGGAGTTCTATCCACTAGTTCGGTATTAGGTAGCAATTTTAACCAGAATAGGGGTTTGTTTTGGGGCGCTTACCTTTCTGGGTGCCTGTTCCGGTCGATGGCAGACATAGAATGCTTCCAACTACACGGGGGCTTCTATAGGCCATTGCTCCCCTTGCCTCTCTGAGGGGGCCCGGTTCTGGCCGTGGTCCCCGGTAGGCCTAAGAACTCCATACACATGACTGATGCCAAAGTCTGACATTAGCATATCAGCCTGGGATAGCTCCGGGGAGCCGACGGGGCTCCCCCCAGAAAATAAACATTATTGAACCCTTTTATTTTTAAAGGAGTTGGTCCTATTCCTTTAATCCCTTAAGAACCAGGAGAGTCTTTCTGCCAGAATATTGGAAATCCCCCCAAATGGATTGCAATCACAAAACCTTGTGAATTCTGAAACAGGTCTATCCTGTTAGACAGAAATGAACCTTACAGGGTATGAGAGTAACGAACCCCCCCCCCCCCCCCCCTCTGCTTAGGCAATGAGAATAGACTTGAAGTCCAAAAGTTGGATCACAGACTCCAACGAAAGAGATGTGCCAAAGTGCCATCCACACTGGTGCAAACTTATGGACCATGATATGGCCAACTACAGTACAAGTTCCATGGCACCAAAGGATTTTGACAAATGGTCCATGACTCATCCTGGAACCAAGGTAGCATTACCATGATTCTGAGATGCTGGTCATCTCTGTATTAATAATTTAATGTGTTTTTAATAGTACTGCATTCCCTAAAGCTATATTTTTACACAATAAAACCACAAGAAAGTGACAATGATGACTAGTGTCACAAATTACTCCACCAGACTGCACATCACTCAGTGCCAGATGAGGGAATGTTACATTTATAGAGTATTATATTAGTTACATAATTTCTAACCTGCTCATTACCTTCAGACTATTTCTAAGGTTAAGGTCTAAGACTTACAACAGTGTTACCTCATCTTTACACAATAATACAATGTGTCAGTATAGTAACAATAAGAGAGTCAAATTAAACGAGAATAAATAATTTATCGGTGCCAATAAATCGACAACGGCTCAACGTTGGTCATTTACCTTTTCCCATACTGTCATCAGTCATGATATTTTGCATGTCTGTCCAATCAACGGTAAGTCGCTTCACCAGCAGATAGGTATTAATGGGGTTCCCCAAGAAGGCTTCAGGAGAGCGAGCTGCTTCGTCGTGCACTCTTTCCATCTCGTACACATCTCTGTAATGACACAGAGCTTATAATTTATGCATCTAGTTCCACAGTTACACCAATATCTTCCCTTATTAATACTCTAGTTATGGCATATTGCCATTATCATACTTTATTTTATACACATACTGTACAATTTCCAGATTAAGATTTTAATTATAGAAAATTATTACTGGAAATTATCTTTAATTATTCAAGTCCAGCCTCATTCTGGACTTAATTTTGATTTTGGCCAGTACAATAAAATGCACCAAAGTCAAACCAAAATTAAAACAAAAAACATATAGCTCAAAAATTTAAGAAAACTAGATTTTATCATATATGAAATGTTTTTTTTACAGACTAAATTATTTATGATTCCAGTAATAAAACAAATATTAACGAGTACTGTAAGTCAAGCTTATCGTTAATTTTGCCCTTGCCTTTTGAGTTTCTCCAGCCTTTCTTCCTGAGCGATAATATAGTTCTCAACGGCTCTAATCATTTCCCCCTCTGTTGTGAGGAGTCGACTTATATCCGACATGGCCGTAAACACTTCCCCGTGACTGGGGGAGGCTACCAACACCACGCATACATACACCAGGCCCCACATCTCTGAAACCAAAAGTTAGATCAAAATAACACACAGAAATCACAATAGCGTAATGCATCAAATGAACAAATCCACAAGGGCCGTGTTCGAGGTTCGAACCCTCGTCATGGCCCTTGTGGATTTGTTCATAGATCTAAATAAATTTTCAACATTTTAATTCCTAAACAAGTACTGTGAATATATACTGTATTTATAAACTATTCCTAAACAACTATAATTAATTGCAAGTCCTTAAAATTATGAAATTTCAGAAACAAGTATAGCAGCGGCTTCATAATGATGATGGTACATACGATACGTATAGTACAGTATATAGATTTCTCAGTTGTTTCAAATACAGTGCAATAGACTCTATACTGTTCATATACAAATTTTAAGATTTGTGTATGATTTAAGATTTTAACATTCAATCCAAAGGAAAGAGCCAAGAAATAGAAGCTCGTGATCTTGACATGAGCCTACTGGAAGCCTCTAAACTTGGGATGACGTGTAATGTGCATCCTAAAGCTCTTGGGCTAGTAGGCCAAAAATGGGTTTAAGAACCTGATAGACACTGGAACTGGGACTTATGGCTATACAGATTGTGACTAGACAAGACTAGAACAGACTACTGTGCTCTAGCAATGTAATTGAACTTATTAAACATGAATTTCTATCATTAATGACCATTAGGTAAATAAAATGAAGGTATGTAATTTATTTACAATATAAATATTAATAAATGAAAAATTATGTTTATGCAAGGCCACTATGTCCAGCTTGGCAGAATTGGACATACTCTTAGTACAATTTAATTTCCACCTGTCAAATATAAACCCCTAATCAATTCTTCTACTACTGATCATTCTCACAACTAAAGCCAGTTAAGTGTTGTTGATTTATAAGTTATGACAGCACAGAACTCCACCTTCACCTTGTCAGGAAAAACAAAGTATCTGCTTAACTGCCAAAACACTCAAACCATCAGGCATAAGAGCATCATCGGGGGTCATCTCTCAACCAAGCTTCGTGCAGGTCAGAGTTCAATCCCCGACTGTCCAAGTGGTTGGGCACCATTCCTTCCCCTCCATCCCATAGTCATAATGGTGCAATATGACTAAGTGCTAGTCATAATGGCTTGGAGCTTTCCCCTGATAATTTTCTCTCAACCAAACTAACACTAAGTCCCCCACAACTCATCCATAAACATAAAAAAGATTAATTTTTTTTTTATACATCATTGATTGTTGCCGCCGGAGGAGGCTAGTTTATTGTGCACCCCATACTCATCCTGTAAGCGGTAGCGCAAAAACATTACAAAGGGTACAAAAGGTCTTTATCAGACCTCATCTTAGATTATTACATAAACAATTACCAGCATATGAATCCAGGCTGTTAAAGGATGCTCTATGGACAAAACTTGATATATTTCCCAATAACCTCCAGTGACAGATGCTCACCAACAGTCGAAGGTGAACCAAGAGTCCCCAAGTTACCTGTCATTAAGGCAAATAGAACCTAAGAGGGACCAGTTACATGATAATCTAATACAAGTTCCGGTGCGAGATGAGCATCTCTCCTCCATGACGGGAGGCTGCTGACAGCTGCCCCCAGTCAGAATGACCCTGTACTACCAGTCACGGTGAAGACTGGCGAGTAGTGACCCCGAGCACCACCACACACACTCACAAAACAGTTAACTAACCACTCACTGACAGCTAACAACACTTACAGCCCCTCAAACACTCGCCGCCACTCCTCCTCCAGTTACTCACGCCAGAGTTTGTTTACCTTCACAGCTGACACTTCCTCGCATCACTTACATTTTCTACTCCAGTTGTAAACAATTATAATAATATATTCAATCAAGATATTAAATAAATACTTCCCTTGTAAAATATCCCATATTTAACACAGGTTTATTAAAGATTTTAACAAAATATTAAAACCGAACTTATAAGTCAACGACCCGCTTTTCTTCCGGTGTTGCCAGATTTGTTCTTTGATGCATGGACCGTATATTATTACCTAGTTTTGTATACATCATTTCAATCCTGGCTGGAATGATCACATATACATGTATAAACAATGGTAGTGTTAAAGAGAGAACATCATAGAAGACATAAGAGAGAGAGAACAAGGTAGCGTGAGGAACACAGGCACCACCGCGGCTCATCAGCTGACAGTCAACCATAGAGCCACCTACTCAATAAACTTATTTCAATTTCAATAGAGCCACCTAATAAGGCCTTAGTTGACGTCATTGACGATGCCATATTGGAATGGCTCAAATACAGCCGCAAGAGTGCGTAAAGCATGTATGCATTGTTGCATTATAGGCACCTACAAGAAATCTTGTGGGCACATGTACGATATATATTGTCTAACTAAATATCTAATCTATAATTTTAATCACACTAGTTATATAAGGTAATTTTTATTAACTGAAGAAAGGACAGTGTCAGACCACGAAGGGAGGATTAAAACAGGAATTTCCTTATTAAGTACTTTTGCATTTAATAATACATCTTCAGAAGGATCTTCATCCTTCTGAAGATGTATTACGAAAGTACCTCCTGTCTTAATCCTTTCCCTCCTAGATCTTTCAGTCCGTTTCGTGAAGGTCTTCATTTCCCATTCGGTATCCTGTGTCTGGCCTCCTATTTCCTCCGTGTAGTTTCATTACTTTACATTTACTTGGGTTGAACTTTAGTAGCCATTTGTTGGACCATTCCTTCAGTTTGTCTAGGTCATCTTGTAGCCTCATACTAACTTCCTCCGTCTTAATCCTCCTCATAATTTTGGTATCATCAGCAAACAATGACAGAAACGAATCTATTCCCTCTGGGAGATCATTTACATATATCAGAAACAGTATAGGTCCAAGGACTGAACCCTGCGGGACTTCACTGGTGACGCCTTGCCACTCTGAGACCTCACCCATCACAGTGGCTCGCTGTCTTCCGTTGCTTAGGTACTCCCTTATCCAATGGAGTACCTTCCCTTTCACTCCAGCCTGCATCTCCAGCTTGTGCACTAGTCTCTTATGTGGTGTCAGAGGGTTTCTGGTAATCCAAAAATATGCTGTCTACCCACCCCTCTCTTTCTTGCCTGATTTTTGTTGCCTGATAATTGAATTAAATTAATCCTGTGAGACATAATTTGCCATCCCTGAACCTATGTTGATGCTGTGTTACAAAGTTCTTTCGCTCCAGATGTTCCATTAGTTTTTTAGCACAATCTTCTCTATCAACTTGCATGGTATGCAAGTTAGGGACACTGGCCTGTAGTTCAGTGCCTCCTGTCTATCACCTCTTCTTGTATATCGGGACTACGTTTGCCGTCTTCCAAATTTTTGGCTGCTCCCCTGTTGCCAGTGATTTGTTATACACTATGGAGAGTGGCAGCCACAGTGCTTCTGCTCCTTCCTTTAGTATCTATGGGGAGATTTCATCTGGGCCTATAGCCTTTGTCACATCCAACTCTAGTAAGAGGTTCCTCACCTTCCCACTGGTAATGCCAAACTCTTCTAGTGGTTCCTGATTATATATCCCCGCTCTTATCTCTGGAACTTCTCCTTGCTCTAATGTGTAGACCTGGAATTTCTTATCGAGTTCCTCGCACACATCCTTGTAGTTTGTAGTGAATCTGTCTGCCCCTATTCTCAGTTCATTACCTGTTCCTTCACTGTTGTTTGCGTTGAAGTTCTTGCAAGAACTTCGGCCTTGCCTCTCAACCTTCATACGGCTGGAGTGGCGGAGGAGCCAGGACCCCGTGTGTGACTCCTGGTACAGTAGCTTCAGGGTGTGAGGTGAACTGGTTCTCCAGGTAAATATCATCCGGAGCGTCGCGGGAAAAGAGGACGAGTCCACCACATAAAAACAGCGACTGTTGCACAACTGTTTGACTGGCGCAAGGCCCCTTACCTCCACCAGGCCCCTTACCTCCCTTACCAGGCCCCACACAGAGTTACAGCCCCGCTCCTGTGCCAGGTAAGTCCACTACGGGCTCACCATAGCCCTTGCTACTTGCCCCGCTCCTGTGCCAGGTAAGTCCACTACGGGCTCACCATAGCCCGTGCTACTTGCACCGCTCCTGTGCCAGGTAAGTCCACTACGGGCTCACCATAGCCCGTGCTACTGGAAACTTTTTGGTCCCAGTAGCTGAATCTAAAACAACAACAACAACAAACACAACTTGTGCGCACATTCATCTATTTCTGCCTGCTGAAGTGAGCCTCAGCTCTTGGGACCCAACTTTCCAGCTGCCGATCGTTAGATACAATGTTTCCCGACTGAAATTCCCATCAAATAAACAAATGAAATTGTGGTCAGAGTTGGCATATATTTCCTTCACGTTTAGTTCATTCAGTTTTACTTCTCTTTCACTAACACAGTGACGCTCTGTTTCCCACCCGAGAGGGACGCCTTCAACACACTCAGGAAATGTATATATCTCTCAGAATGTTTGGTAATATGTTTATTGTTTGTGATGTGTGTGTATGTATGTATTAACACGTTGTACTGAATGGGGTGAGAATAGCTTGAGCTGCCTCATCCCTTTGTGTGTATTTTACCTCAATAAACTTATTTCAGTTTCAATTTCAACAAACTCGACGCTCCTCCTGATACACCAGGCTGTTTACAGCGTGCGTACGAGTCTCTGATGAGGAAGAGTACCGTGTGTGTGTGTGTGTGTGTTTAGATTGTGCCACCCCCCCCCCCCCACACCCATATGCTTAGTAAAGGTGTAAACTAAGGGAGGATTGGGGGGTGGGGGGTTAACCTTTGACCAATTGGGTAGTTATATAAAGAACTATCTCCCCTTCACTTCAACTTCGTGGGTTGCTGGGTCGCCCCACTCTCCCTCAACACACACTAGCCACCTACATATGTTGTTGTTATAGATTCAGCTCCTCGAAACAAGTTCCAAGTAGCACGGGCTATGGTGAGCCCGTAACTTACCTGGCACAGGAGCGGGGCAAGTAGCACAGGCTATGGTGCAGAATACCCCCGTTGAAAAGTGGAGGT